AGGTCTATATATTAAAATTGTTCTTGTATTCTTATTCAATTTGAGGCACATAAAATATACGCTATGTCGTTAAATATTTATCGTTGAGGAACGCGTATATTTCGACTGTAAGTCGATGGAAATGGGCGGTTAGGAACTTCGAAAAATATTGAACGTCGGTAACGTAGGTGACTGTTAACGGGCACGGCAGTGAATATCTGAAGGATCGTCATTTGTTCCGTAGAAACTGAAGGAAGAACACCTATACATGTATAGTGTCTCGCGCTAACTGGGTATCTTTTACCTATTTATTACCATCTAATCCTATTACTACTCTTGCTTACTCTCTATTGGGGCTTTCATATAATATTGATAGACTTTTAACCTCTTGATTTCTAGATAAAAATCGCTTTGGTTTGTATATTCGATTAGAATAAAAAAAATTAATTTAAAATTCGTCCCTAAATGGCTAATTATAAATTCGATTGGTTTTTGCACTCTTTTATTTTCTAATTGATGTGAATTAATACCGTGCCTACCTAAATTAAATTATACTCTTTCGGGAGTTATTTCGAGCTCGAAGTTTCATTATAATACAGCTGTATTTATATGATCAAATATGGCTTAAAGTAATCGTTTGTTTCTGTTTCTGGTTACCGATTGAAAGGGCGCCATTATTACGTCATCGACGCCATGAGAATTTACTCTAGGAGAGAAAGATATCAGAGAGAAGTAAAGCTTGTAATTTATTCAGACAAAAAGATAACATGTTCAATTGTATTTTTACCATCTTTCGTATGAATTTTTATTGGCCGTGAGCGTGTTATACGACTTCATGACAGATCGGTGCCAATTGGATACGGACCGGATACAGATTTCATCACTTCGCTACGATAAAGACTATAAAATTAAAACATTAATATATTTTCAATAAAATTTGCATAATCATAACATAACCGAGTTATAATAATTTATAACTGAGAATCAGTTAATGATTCTTTTGGAGACTGAATGTTAGAACTAATGTCACTATCTAGGCAAGATGGCCGTTTTTCTTCAAAATTTTCGAATGATTCTGCTTCTGTACTATATTCTTGAATATTCTCCTCTGTTTCTTCTTTCCACTCGCATTTACAAGTTTTTGTGGGTTCCATGAGACCCAGGTTCCCTTGCGCATAACGGCAGTTAATATCTTCGATCTTCAAAATATACAATATATCATTTATAAATATACAAGGTGTTCCGTACAAAGTTTTACAAGCTAAAGACATATTCACAATTCTATATTTTAATCGTAGTAGCATAAATTTTAAATAACATTGAATTACAGTGTACATACCTGTGATGCAGTCTGTCCTATGATACTTGTAATATTATCACTTTCCAATATTTCCCAAAGACATTGAAGCAACTGTTGTTTCAAATGCGAGGCGCAGTAATTTTCACGCGTAATATCTCCTTCGAGCTGTAAAATATTTATTTGTTACAACAAGTACAGATTAATTCACACGATATTGCCGATATTGCAGGAATATTGCATCAGTAAATGACTGATATAAGTTACGAACAAAGGTAAATTTTAATCAAACCCTGTTTGAAAATCATGTTTACCTCCAAGGCCTCCTTAATGCAACTCCTTGCACGATTTAAAAGACTTTTAAGCGCGTTTAGTTCTTTCTCCCTTTCGCGAACATTTAGCGACAATTTTTCTCGGTCGGTCCTCGTCTTCAGAATACACTTCTTTAAATGTTCCATTTTTTCTTCCATCCGTTTAACTTGTTCCTTATAGTTCTCGACGATCTTTTCGTATTCGGCAATTCGAGCATTATCCCTCTCTGCTTGTCCGTAATACCACAGCATCGATTGAAAATCCTACGGTATTTCAATTTCTCTAGTTTAATGCCTTCAATTAACTATTTCGATAATAATTAATAAAAATATAAGCAATAATAACGACAGGACGATAATGATTTTTAGATCTTTTGTTACATCCACCATAAGTTCATATCAAACAATTCTCTTTTTACAAAAAAAAGATATCATTATCACCCTCTGCAGTCAATATTAATTAACAATCTCACGTCTGTCAATTTGTGAATAGTATTTCTCTGTTTCATCGCCATTTCCAAAGTCATGTTCGATTCCGTTTCGAACAATTCGCATTGCAGCCTCCAAATACGTTCTGTCTCCTTGCTCTCCTTGCTGGTCATTCCCAGTTCCCTGCAAGTCCCCTCCAGCATGTCAAGTTCTTGGTTCAAGGTCATATTTTCTCGAATCGCGCGGTGCGTGGCTTCCGCCACTCGCATATTCGTCGCTTTACGAAGCGACATTGCTAAAGTGTTGAGACGTTCTTCCATTTCCTTCTTCATCCTATTAACATTTAATTTCATCAAAAGATTCTTGTTGCAATTTTTCTTTTTTCTTTCCATGTTTTTTTTTCGACGAATATTTGAACGAATAGTTACACAAATTAAATACAATATAAAATAAATGTACATTGCTTTCCCGATGATGACAGACTTTTCAGCTTCGTAAAGCTCTTCCCGATGACGCTTTTCTTGTTCGATGATTTCTTTCTCTTGCATTTCAAACTTCTGCATTAAGTCGATTCGCGCCAATCTCCAGTCCTCTAGCGCGTTAAGTTTACCAGCTGATCGATAGCGTGTTGCGCATAAGAAGAAATTTTTAAAAATCGAATTAGTCGTATTCTTTAAAGCAGAGATGGGCAAAACCCTAGGCTTCGAATAAATCTGAAGTTTGCCGATATGTTTGTCTCGTTTCCTTCTTTGGAAAATTTTCAAAAGAGAAAACGAGACAAACATATCAGCAAACTTCAGATTTATTCGAAACCTAGGGTTTTGCCTATCACTGCTTTAAAGTAGGTAGTAACAGACAAAAGATTAACTTTACTTCCGTTGAAGAAAAGTAAATTTGTATTTTATATTACAGCGAATCGTAGTTTTTTTTATTGAGTTTAAGTTGCTAGTACTGTAATGTCATTATGTCCCACCAATGAAAAGTTGGCTGAATTACTCCACCAATCAGAAGACCATATACGCAGTGATGCCAATGACGGCTCCTAATGTGAGTAAAAGGGGAACCTCTGGCATCACTGTGCTCGCTTGGGTATACATATATTTAAAAATGCAGAAAGAGGAATCGTCATTGATTAAAATTGCTTGAAACAAGATTAGTTTGAAAAGAACGTGATATAGGATACAAGTAACAAACTTGGAAATGTATAGCAATGTAAATAATGATTAAACAAAAGAAAAGGGAATAGTATATACTTCACCAGCCAGTTTAACTTCGGCACTTAAATTGTTTTCCATCGTGCGATATTCAAGTTGCATCGCTTCTTCTTTCTTCTTATAAGTAGCTAATTCGTCCTTTCGTAATTCCTCTACAGCTGAAAGTCGTTCAGCGAGTTCCTTTGACTCTTCTATTTTCTCTTCTAAGTTTCTCTTCAGATGTGCAATCACATCCGATCGATCCTCTTCAAGTTGTCGAAATTTTTCTTTTACTTGCTCTGCTGCTTCCTCTAATTCCTGGTTTCGACTCCGTAACCTACATTTCCGATACACTTTTTCGTACATTCCAGAGGATACAAAGAATTATTTGATATTCCTTTCGCGGTTAAAATTATTTACCTTTAAAATTAATCCGTGATAAGGTATTTTTTTGAGAGCATACACTCAGTAAAACTTTGACTATATAGTAATACACTTACTTTAAATAAATGCAAAAAATGTAAACAATAATAATATAATCTTATATATATATTTTTTACTCTACAATTTAATTGCAATTTAGTATATTGTATTTTATTAATATATTTACTAATTCGAAGAATTTGGTTTCGTTATTAAGAATTAACTATAAATAGTAATAATAATAAATCAATTCCGATCACAAACTCATACAGACAAGTATGTATATATGTATGTATATGTATACATATACCGTGCCAACTGTCTGTTGTTATCCAAAATCTCTTGTTCGTAAGTCAAGGTCTCTCTTTCGTCTACGCATTTCTTTTTGACTTTTTTTCCTTTACCTTTTCGCTTTTTTCTTTTTACCCGTAACATTTTAATCTATTAAATTTAACCAAATTATTGTTATACCAAAAATTTGAATTCTGTCACGACACATTCAGATGCACAAGCTGCACGATGAAGGTATTTCTTGTTGGATCGATCATTTTTCGATTCCATGGTAACGGAGAGGATTTAGTAATAAAACGATGTTTTACAAAAGATGATTTTAATACACCTCTACTGAAATATTTTTTAATATTCTTTAATAATTTGTCGTTCAACTTCGGTAATCATAAATATAAGTATGTAACTACATACTGTATATATACAAAGGGCACATCATGTAACCTGTTATATGAACGTCTTTTTAATGACAATTGAGAGGGTCTATGAATATTAATCATTTTAGATAATGATTACGAATGACGAAAAATTTTTTTATCCTAATCATATGCTACCTATTCATAAACGCACTTTTTCTGTTTCATACATATATTTTTTTCAAATTATACATACATACATATACATATCAAGAGATATCAAACTTAAAAATCTAATGCAAATAAAAATGTAAATATTCCGAAATATGAAAATTAAAATAGTTACTGAAAATTAAAATAGTTACTGAAAACCAAATAAACTATAGACATCTAATATTTAAAAAATAAATTCAATATGAAAAACTATTCATCTTTGCGATAGTTCTTCAAAGTTTTAGCAAAATTTACAACTCGGTTCCATATACACACGGTAGAAGTCGTACAAATTTACATATTTCTAGAAAGAAAAATTAAAAATTTTAAGAAGTAACTTAATAAATAATAAGTATAACAACTTCAAATTTCTTTAAATAAATATACATTACTCATGCACAGATTTGCACGCATTCATACACTGTAAAAATCTTAGAAGTACAAAATTTCGAATTTTCATAGAGCTTGAAACGATTTTGTGCAAATAAGGTGGTTCAATGAAAACAACATGTCGGTATGCACGCACGTGCGTGTATTTATGAACCATCAGTAACAAACTTGACTTCATCTAAAAGAAAAAGAAGGACTCAAACAAAAATAGTAAATAACTAATTAATTCTAGGCGGAGGTGGTGGCTGTGGCCTGCGGAAGTAAATGATTAAACTGAGTATGCCAGTGAGCAGTCCTATAAGATACAAGTCCCAATTCTGGCCCAAAAGCTGGTCCCATTTATTCAGATGATCGACAAAGCTAAATTCTTGTAGATAGTCCAAACCAAAAAGGAAAGAGAGTTTTATGAGAGCCAATGCTACAGGAATTCTAGCATCTGGACTGGCTTCTGCTGCGAGATCGTAACATCGTTTAGCTAAATGTCGATCTCTCGCCAGGCCCAAACCACGTTCGTGCATGTATCCGAGGTTAAACATTGCCTGTGCATTTGTTTGCTGTTCAGAAGCTAATCGATAGTGACTAGCTGCAGCCTCATAGTCAACTTTCGTTCCTTTACCATAATAGTGTGCATCTCCTAGTTTAACCTATTATAATTAACAATTCGTAAATAATAGCAGACGTAATTTAGTAATATTCTTACTGGAGATAGGAGGTATTCGTTAAATTCAAAATCCATCAAATCAAGATTTTACTGTACGAGTATTAATAAGACATATTCAGAGTAGCCTTTAGTGCAATTCTCTTACACGTATTTCATTATAACTACATACCTGAGCAGCAGAATATCCTTGCGCGGCAGCTCTTGCCCACAAAGAAAGTGCCCTAACTAATCCTTCTTCTTCCGACAGTATTGTAGTTTCCCCTTTATCAAGTATAAATGCAGCGTTACTCTGCGCAACATCATAACCCATTTCTGCAAGGAGAGCATAGTTGACGAAAGCTTCGTTGATTCGACCTTCTCTATAATCTGTGTGAGCAACCACCAACTGGTCACTCCATTTGCCTCTTTCAGCAACATTTTTCAAAAGTTCAACAGCAGCTGTGCAACTACGCATCATGCCTGTGCCAGTGGCATGCATTTGTGCTAAATTATAATATGCCAGAACGTGACCAGATTGACTGGCCAAACTGAAGTACTTGTTTGCTAATTTGTAATCACGTTTCACCCCTGTTCCACCTATGAAGTAGGTCAGTTATTAAAATCGTTGAATGAATTTACATCCTTAATTAAGCTATATATTATAGAAATATAGATTATGTAACTATTACAAATTAATTCTAAACATATATAAATACATACTAAAATACATGTTGCCAAGTTGGAGCTGTCCATCAACCCATCCTTGCTCTGCAGCTTGACTAAAGTATTGATGAGCTTTTGCAGTATCCCTTTCAACTCCTCTTCCATAAAGATACATAAGCCCTAAACCGCTTTGTCCGACAGGATTTCCGAGCTCCGCAGCTTTTTTAAAATATTTGTATGCCGTTTTGTTATCTTGTTCCACTATGTCATTGCCCTCTAAATAAATCTAAAACAACAATGAATTATTCAGTGTAAAATTAACATTATATTAATTAATATAATAAACATGTATAAAAACTCAATATTTGTGATACCTTTCCTAGAAAAGCCATAGCGACGTGATTTCCAGCATCAGCAGCATGTTGAAAATAATGCATTGCTCTTACATGATCTAATGGAACACCTCTGCCACCCTGGTAATGTAGTTGTCCTAATCCAACTTGAGCCTGTGTATCTCCCTTTTTTGCCAGCATCTGATAATATTCTATCAGATCCTGATCAAAAATTCCTGAGCTGTATCCAGGATTCTCCTGTTCATCTAGAAGTCTAACTCGTTGGACAACAGGTCCCCCGCTAAAGGAAACTTCTTCTGCAACTTTGTTAGCGACTTTACGGTAAAAGTCCAAAGCTCTTTCGCATGAAGCTGGCGTTGTAACACCTTCCCAATGACGATATCCCAGTGCCATTTGCGCACGAGTATCTCCGCCAAGAGCTGCTGCTGTGTAATGTAGAAGTGCCTTAGGCTGTGAGGCATTCACTCCACCTAATCCTGTTGCATATAAAAATCCCATACCCTACAAAAAACACGTGTACGAGTTGGAACATTATGTATTCTATTATCATGAGTGTAAACTTTAATTAGTAATTTGTTAATATATTCTTATTCTATATATGAATTATCACAAGGTCTATTCACCATATGAGCGGATGGTAATCCAGTTTCAGCAAGTTCTTTAAATGTTTGGTAAGCAGCTGAAATGTCTTGACTAGATGTCCAGAGTGAAGTTGGACCAAATTGCATTCCCAGCAACTGAGCCCAGGCCAACATAGATCTAGCTTCACGATGACCAAGAATTGCTGCGGACGTTAATAGCTCGTAAGCCTCTGCTTTATTAGACCGTGTGGCATTTAAGAGACGTTGTGCTTTCCTAAATATTTGCTCCGCTGAAAGTTTAGAATAAAAGTATACAATTATTGTTACAACTTATAAGTGCAATGTCAATTAGTTTGATACATACCCTCTTCTTGTTCCGGAGAAAGAGGTTCCTGAGCAGTCTCTTCATTCAAGGACTCGAGTTGCTCCTCTTCGCTCCATGTTTTTGTTTCATCTTCCTCAATCCTTAAATTACTATTTGGTGAGTTTATAACCTTAGCCTGTGCTATCATTGCCCTTATCCAAAGATTTCTCATTCCAGAACTTTCCTCTTTAGTTTTTGGTTCATTTTCTACTTCCTCTTTCCTTTTTGTAATTTTTTCGCTAAGATATGGTTCAGAAGCTGGGACCATTTTTAGAATAGTATCGTGCAAAGCCTTCAGTTCTCTCAAATGTTCAAACACATTCTCTTCTAAACTGACATCTTCTTCTGCTTCTTCATCAGAAGCCTCTGATTGTTTCTTAGAAACTTCTGATTCGGATGAAACAGACATAACCAGTAAGAGTAATAGCAACTCCTTCCGTAGCTTCATTTTGATGGCTCAATCTTTATCGTATTTCTACCAATGAACCGATCTTAATGTAAATGAAAAAATTTTATTTTTAATACTTTTTTATTTCTGTTAATTTTGCAATACATATTATAAGTGTATTGTATACAATAAAACCTTAATTATCTGAACACATCTTAGTATGCACCATTTAGATAATTGAATAAATCTTTTTTTGCAAAGATAATTTACATTAAAATATTGAAGTTTAAAAACATTGCTTTAAAACTTGAAGTATTTTTCAATTCTTCTCTATTAGCAGAGAACAGTATCAAGGTTCTACTGTATAGCAAATCAAATTTTGTAATAAATATTATATGTGATAATTTTTTTTTGTTTATACATCAAGAAGTTTCATAGATGAAAATTAAACATTAAAAAAAGAAACATATTTTTTAGAAATTTTATCATTTATTAGACATACATAATTTCTCTTACATACATTTATAATTAATCCAAAAGTATGAAATAAAATAATCATAAATGAAAACACTTGATCAATGGAAAACATAATAAAACTACTTACGATAAAATAGTGAAATTTATATTAACAATGTTTGGTTAATAATTTTTAGAAAAAAACTACATAAATTGATATATATCAGATATAATTTCTATATGAATAGAGTACCGATAAACAAATAATTAAACTTTTAATAAACACTGACAGAACTGGTAATATTTTACTTGTTACAGAATGTGAGAATATTCTAACAATAGTTTTTATGATATTACAGTTAAATTACTAATATAGTCTTATGTAAACGAAAAGCGTGTTACTGCATGGTGTAAAATTTTTTTCACTAGTGTAAAAATAATGATTTATGCCAATACATTATCATTTCAAATACTTATTTACAATTCACGCGAAGACAAACTAAAACAGATTGGTTTCAAATACAGGAATGCAGTGAAAATATTTGAAACTACTTATGTTATTGTTGGACACAATTTTTGCTACAGAACCTTATTTTGTAAACTGTATTTTCACAACATAAATAAAAATTTTAATTTCACAAACACACTAATACTAAAACTTCACTCGAGGAAATACGTTTGACATATCAACATTATTTGTACACAATAATTATGAAAATATGATATTCTTTATGTTCTATAACCTAAATTTTAGTGAACACTACATAAGAAAGAAAAAAATATTGTTCCAAAGGAAAACAGGTACATGATTTCTTACTTTTAGTTCGAACAGATTGGTAAGAACCTTCTTGAGTTCATTTTGTAGTATGTTTCTCGAGAATTCGACTTTTCGTAGCAGAAAGAGAACGTTACGTCATTGAGACACGTCAACGCACATCTTCGGTTATTGCACTAATGATTTCTTGTGGTCATTTGTAAAGATAAGGTTTTTTCATGCTAAACCAATTCCGTTTTCTAATTTACATACTTCAATTATCGAATATCAAAGCACATTGTACATTTAACTATCGACGAATCAGCTGTTTCACGGATGTTTGTTTTCGAAAATTGTCGTGCTTATACGCTGTACATTGAACAACTGAAGTGAGCCGCACATTACATAAATATTAGTTATGTTTGCCATTAAAACTAAACTAAAGATAAAGACTCGAACCTGAACAAGTTGAATCTTTTTGCCAATACTGTATAATAATTTACATATGTATAAACATCCATTGTAATCACTTAGTAACATAACCTCATATATCGTCAACATAGTTTTTCTGTGAATTCTGTGATACAATTTTTTGTATATTAACAAAGGCGTACAATGAAATAGACATACACAAAGTATATTAGTAATTAGATTAAAAAACATTATTACTAATGTAGAAAGGAAAAAGTGGGATTAAAATGAGAATGATTTATTCATCAAGTAACAATCAAGTTTGTTTTATGTCGCATGTTTGTTCATTTTTAAAAGGTACAGGTTTAATAGTAAATAGAATAAATCTTTATACATAGAAGGGATGATAATAATAAGGAAAAAGTTAACGCAATTACAAAAGGCTTTATTTGAATACGTATAGTTTTAATACTATATATCCAGTATTTTTCCTATTACTAACATTTCTGGAAAAAACTGTGACTGAGGAATATTCTTGCCGATGTTTACAAAATTGCTCTTGGGTGCAATTTTTTAAGTAATCGCTAAACGTAATCGAAACGTCTACAATTTTGTTATCTGAGACTTTGTTTTTAAGATATAAGCAGATACAAGTGCTTGTACAGTTCAGTTTGGCGCTGTAAGCAAGCGCTCATATCAGCTCGTATGAATAAACATGGCATCACGATTTAAGGAGCATTTTCATGTGTCGTGAGGTCATCAATTTCTATTTTCTTTTTACCTCCGAATGGAACTATAATTTGTTTTAATTGATTTACGATTACCTTCGAAATTGACTAAATAACAGTAATACATCTGAAGTTTGGATGATATCGCAAAATATTATTTCTGAATATTACAAGACTTTACGATATCATAGTGATGCACATATGTATTTGTAAACATATCTCAATACTTTTTTTTTTAAATAGTTTTGCTGATAATTTGATGATCTCCTATTTATATTAATTAGAATAAAACATTTGTGAAATTATCGAAGTCTTGATTCATACAAAAATGGTGGATTTACACGGAAAAGACAAGGGAAATATATCGCTACCGCCGAAACTACATTCTTACGAAGATGAACAGAATAAAAATAATCCAACAATTATTAATATGCAAAGGGCTTTGTATAGTATTAAAATTACGGACGTTGAAAATAAAATAAAAAGGTTAAAAATAATATTACCATTATTAAAAGAATGGCCAATCGAATAAATTAAGATAAAACCTTTTACACTTTAATAATAAATATTTTATATACATCTTACATTTCTTCTAATTATTTTTGAACTAAACATTGAACGATATTTAATATAATAATATAAAAATACTGAAAATTTAAGATTAGAAAATCGAAATGACGAGTTATTAGAAGAAATCGAAACTATCGAAGGATTTCTGTCTGCCGTGGATGCAGAGACAGCCGAAGAAATTTCAAACTTATCCAAACAAATGTATGCACAAATTAATAGAGTAGACAATTTAAAAACTCAAATTGACACCGTGGAAAATGATCGAGTAAAAAATAAACAATCTCACGAAGATAATGTAGAATTATTAAATCAAAAATACAAAGAAAAAAAAGTTGAATTGGTTTCCCAGATCAAAGTTTTAAGTAAATTAAACCATTTCTCCCTACTTACTTGTCATTTACGAACAATTATTTTTATAAATATAAAAACATTTTCCCTAGATGCTAAAATCAACACTTTGGAAGATTTTAAAAAAATGCAAACTGCGTTAGAAGAGAAGTTTAAAGCACATGATGAACATAGAATAGAAAACAACAAAAAAGTTAAAGATAGTCTGGAGAGCATCAGTCAAAAGTTTGAATTCGATAAAGAAATGTACTACGTTGTTGTTTGGCATATTTTTAGTAAAAAATTATTTAATTTATTTTATTACAAACGGAAAATGAGACTTTATTATATTTATAAATTAATAAATTTTTGTTATTTAGGCTCAAAAATGAATTGTATTATCGTCTTCTTAATGTGGCAGCCCAATTCCAAATAGAAACTAATAAACATATAAGTTTACCAAATCAAAGATTAATGCGAGAAAATATTATGTTAAAAAATGAATTAATAAAAATTTCTAACGATATTTCGCTGGAAAAAGAATTTGAAAGCAACTTTAAGTAATGTTTTACCTGTTTTTGTATACATTTTCTGACTTACATAGAATATTTTTTTACATGACATTTATGTAGTATAATAATTATTAATTTACAATACGTTTTTTTATCGTGTTTGTATGCCAAAAGAGATATTGAATTTATGTTAAAAAATGAAATTACTTGTAATTCTTTTTAACAAAGAGACTCATACAATTACTTCTAACCAGGAAATATTGTTTTAAAGTATTTTCTTTTTCAAACATTTTTGTCTTGTAGAAATTTAACTGTTCAACACAGGAAGGATATTGTTGTTCATCATTCAAATATAAAAGGAAACATAGTTACGAGAAAAGTACAACATTTGTTGTTAACATCTTTACAGAAGAAATTTGAAAGAATGAAAAAACGTTTATCTGTTATAAAAATCCCTGATCCAGCAATAGAAGGAAAATGTTTGACATTGATCGAAAATGCTCAACTGGAAGAGCATCAAGCCAACTTCTATCTTTCAAAATTAGAAACTTTACTTCACAAAGAACGAACAAAAGTAGGTGTTACAAAATATTTACAGAAGAGAATAGAATGCAAAATAAGGGCAGTTGTAGAGACACTTTACGACTTCAAATATATTGTAATGTGTTTACTCAAGGTATTTTATTACATTTTACACCAAATAATTTTTAAATAACATAATTTTTTAACGAACATGTACTATGTTGGATACATATTTTACAGTGTTCTACAACAGGATCAAGTTATATTAAATTGCTCTTATCTTTGCAAAACAAACTCATTAAAGGACAATTAAAATTTCGGTGTGGTATTGTCAAATCGTAAGTAAGAGTAGCAATTGCGTGTATAATTGAAAAAGTTGAAATGAAAATCAATTTTTCAAGAGAAAATAAAATGCTAGGATAAATTCAATTCTTGCTAAGTTAAAAATAATTGCGTTCAGTTAATATGAGCTATGTTATTAAATAATTTGGTATTTATACACTCTTTTACAAGTGAATACGCATTTCGAACAAAATTGCATTTATCTTTTCCAAACATAACCTATGGTATTAGAACAGTTGTAATAACGTAATATTTAATGGGCTATTAAACTATGATTGATTTACACGAAGGATTGAAACTATATTACGAGACACAAAATATTGTTCTGAAGATTTGAAAGAAGTTTCTGAAAATGCTGTTTTCGAGATAATGGCGGACTCTGACGATAAAGAAATATCGTACAAACCAGTTTTAGATGAAGTAAATTAACGATTCTATATAATAACATATATTTGAACATACATTCTGTGATAATTATGTATCGAATTATTATTTTACAATCCTTAGCAAAAATTAGAAACAGAAAGGAGTGAAGAAAAAGAAATTTCTACCGAAAGTAGTGTGTTTAGTGAATTCGATAAAACGTTTAAAGATACGACGTTATTCGACATCGATTCAGAAGAACATTTTACTGAGTTCGTAGAAGACGAAGAATCATTATTTGATATTAATGAAGAATAAAGCTCATAGTCTATATTTCCGTTTGTTGTTATTTATATAAATTTGTTCAATTAATACTTCGATAATTATGTATAAATATTACATGATGGTAAAGTCAAGTAACTGCAAGATTAAATATTAGGAAGGAAACATTTGTATACATAACTTTATTAATTTTTTAAATATTATACAAAATTATTTCCTAAATAATTATTTCGTTTTGAAATTTACTTGCTTAAAGAAGTTTGTAAACTTCATCCCACATATTCTATAACAAATTCTTGGCATTTATAACTTTTGTATAAATAGATATCCTCACGATTTATACTTAAATAAAATTATTATTTAGTCTATGTACATTACTTAATGAAAGTTACACTTTCGTATTTTTGACCTGTTTCATATCAATTTTGTGATCTGGTTTTATAAATCGTTTTACTTTAGCTTTGTCTCGTTTTCTGAAACAAAAAAGAAATTTACTTATTTTTAATTCACTTTATAATTACATATGTATATGTATAGCTTGTAAAATTATAATTAGTTTGTATCATATTACTATATATGCTTACAGTTTAATAGTAGAAGGAGCAACAATATTCCTTTGTTGAAGTGATTTGAATCGATCTTTCAATAAATTACCAACTGGTTCAGAATTCCGCAAATTTCCAGTCAATTCTTCTGTTAACTTGAAATCAGGGTTTAATGGTTCAAATTTAACTTTACTAAGAGTTTTAGTACCCATTGCTTTCAGTGCTTTCTTTTTCAACCTCTTTTCTCTGAGCATCTTTGCCTTTTTCTCTTTAGTAGATAATTGCTTATCTAATAGTCTTAATTTGTAAATATCAGAGAGTTTTCTCTTCTCCAATTTTTCTCGCTGAATCTTGTGAGCTAACTCCTTTTGTTCTTTCTGTTTACGTCTCTGTACAAGTGTCTTTTTTCGGTTTTCTACTGGTGGGTTTATAGATTTCACTTCTGGATCATCATCTATGATAGATTCGTCATTTTCTTCTGGTTTGAGACCTACTGACATTTCTTTCATGAAAGCTTTTTCTTTTTCCTCTGGTGAAACCTATATCAGAATAATTTAATAATTAGCATGACAAGAGAAACAAGAACAAGATAAATATTTTAAATTCCAATGTTAACTAAGTCACCTATTATAAAAATGCATAAACAAAGTACCTTTTTAAACATCTTTGAGGTAACCCTTTCCAAATGTTTTTCCTCCTTCATTAATTCCAATTCTTTTTTTGCAATCTCTTGCAATAAGTTTTGATGATCTTCAAACGAAGGGTTGTAAGATGTTCCTGGATGTGGTGCTTCAATTGCTGGTATCGCAGACTGTTTCTTATGTAAGGAAGTAGGCAATTTCTTCTTCTTCATTCCAAAATGAGATAGCGTATGTTTTACAGTACCTGAAGACATCCAATCTGTATCGATTTCTTTTCCAAATTTTTCTTTCCAGACATCACTGTTGAACTCTCCTCTCTTGGGCCTACTTAATCTTTTTAGTGCTGCGATGCTCTTATTTTTTATACGTATTTTTTCTTTCAATTTTAAAATACCTTGAGACTTCCTGAGAGCTTCTTTTCGCAAAACTAGAGAATTTTTCCTTTCATCTTTAGTTTTTACACGATTTCTTTTTGTTATCGGATCAGGGACGGATGTATGAGGTTTCAAGATATTGAAACATCGTGGCTCTTTCGATAGCAGCAATTCGCGACGTGCTTTTTTCGGAAGGATCTCAGGTTCCGTAGAAACGGTAAATAAATCGGAATTTTTACGAGTAGAGAAAGAACCTAACCTCTCTTCTAATCGAGAATCATCTAAGAATTTGTCAACATCTTTCATATCTACATGTTTGCGCCATGATTTTTTTGTCTTTTTGGACACTTTTCGTTTCTTGGTCATTTTGCTTTAATCGGTAGAATAGTATCACTTACTGTACTTGGTTGTTTTCGACGAAAAACGTGATTTTCAAGTCAAAATTAGAGTTTTTATTTACTGCCTCGTAATTGGTGAATTTATACCTGAAACTACAGTGGTTTAACAGAGTCAAAACTCTCGTCGAAATCTTTGATATTTGTGTCCCTATACAGGGTGTCCCAAAAATGTTGTAACACCTTGAAAGGGGTGGTTCGGGAGGTGATTTGAAACAACTTTTTCCTTAGCGAAAATATTGTCCGAGGCTTCGTTGAGGAGATATTAACGGAAAACCCCGACCAATCAGAGCGCGAATATGCCGGTTGAGCGTAAGCTACGCGCTAGGCGGCCGCGCTCATACGCTACCGCGGCCGCTCAACCAGCATACGCGCATACTGATTGGTCGAGGTTTTCTGTGAATATCTCCTCAACGAAACCTCGAACAACATTTTTGCTAAGGAAAAAGTTGTTTCAAATCACCTCCCGAACCACCTCTTTCAATGTGTTACAACATTTTTGGGACACCCTGTATTTATAAAGCTATGAGGAAAATTTTACAAAATCTACTCTGAAGTAATTTACTGTAGTTTTGTCAAATAAAATTGCTTTCATATAAAAGTTTATTAAATAATCAACAAGTTACTCAATCCAAACGTCGGTTACGGAAGATTACCGAGGTCAATGGAACATAAAGGCAGTTTAAGCTCCATCCACATATTCTCAAATCCGTCGGTCCTATATGAACGCGCCATAATGTTTCTTCTCGTAAAGATTCACCTTATCTTTGACACACGTGTTGCGTATGCGTATACACACGCGCGCATCACCTGTGGTGCGGTCAGAAGGCTGGCCACAACACCAGAGAAAAAGTTGTACTTACCGATGGCTGTCATCGCTTTTTCTGACAGATGTTTTTACGTGCCCTATTACGCGAGTTTCACCCTATCCGTACAGAATCCAATAGAAAATCCTTCCTCTGAACCTTCTGTGAATTTAATTTCGTCTCGATAAACACAATCGCGAACGACAGTGTGCTCGTTTAAGTTTAAAGGGTGCGTCATCGGAATTCCAAGGATCACGATCACTTGAAAAAGATCGTCGTCCGAGGAGCTGAACGACTAAAGGAGAAATAAAAGAAGTGTGGACGGAAACACGTGAAAAAGAGAGAGAGACTGAAAACAAAGGGTATGGCGAAGACATATGATTATTTGTTTAAGTTGTTGCTGATTGGTGACTCAGGGGTCGGCAAGACGTGCGTCCTCTTCAGGTTCTCCGAAGATGCTTTCAATACGACCTTCATCTCAACTATTGGTAACTATCCCCTTTTTATTGGACTTTTTTTTACCGTTTTGTTATCGTGATCTTTTTTATGCGTTTGCTCTTCATTAACAGGTTTTCAAAAAGCAAAATATCAAAATAGAATTTCTTAACAAAAGTTTTAAATTATTTGCGAAGTCTTAATGTACAAATGGAAGTTTAATCGTCAACAATATACTTTTAAATAAATGTTTGAAATTTCAATACCATACAACCTGTTGAAAGACTTTTCAAAATCTTATAGTATATGCCGCAGACTTTTATATGTTGTAACGATGCATTTGTAGGAATTTGTGCATTTACAAACATTTGACTATTTACACTACACTATCTTTACCTATTTATTCAAAAATGTTCATCAATAAATAACTAAAACACTTTGGGTTATCGGTAGCGTTTACCAATATTTTTACTTATTCATTTACTTATAAATTTTTTATTGCTACATTAATTTTGCACAAGTATGTCAAAATATACATGTGTTATGTACATTTATTTAATTGTAACATTTGTAGGACAGTATGAATTGCTTTCAATTATGTATTTATTTGTTTATATATTGGCATCAATTTATTTAGCATATATTGTGGTGGTAACATTGTCAAAATACATATGTAATAGAACAACTGAACAGTATGTATTAAATGAGATGAATAGTATACTCAATATGTGAGAAAAATATACCTCTGCAATTGTCCTACTTTATTAATTTATATATTAATAGAAAGAATATTAAGTAGTGTATCATTCAGTTGTTCATCCCTATTTTTTTGTCTACTTCTCTTTTTACCACAGTTATGTATGTATTTATTTCGTCATTAATCTCTTATCTTATGTATCTCATTTAACATTTTAATTCTTATTGCATTATAATACCTCAATGTAAAATCATGTTACTTTGTTAATAAGACTCTTAGTATCATTGTATAATCTCTTATACTGCAAAATAGCAATAAAAAATGTAATATCTGTTGTTACATATCATTACATCATACTTCACTTATGTTTTTTATGTTATAATGTTATTCGAGTATAAGAATACAGAGATGAGATGATCCTTTTTAATTACTATTAATTGTATTAATGTATTAATGCTATAATTTATATTATAAATATCTATACAAGTTGAGACCACCTTAAATATTAACAAAAATATATATCATAAGAATTTTATTATTATAATGTATACTTATTTCTTGTTTTCAGGAATTGATTTTAAAATAAGAACAATAGAATTAGATGGCAAGAAAATAAAACTACAAATATGGTAAGCACTGCATATTTCAGTCAAGTGATTGAACTTAAAAAGCAGAAAATATTAAAATTAATATCATATGATTTCAGTTCTTTCCAAATTAATCTTTTGTTTGAAATTAGAATATTTCGTAAATAATGTTTCAAATAAAGTATTTCATAGAGTAACCACAGAAGAATATTTTATACAGTTTACACATTATTACATAATTTTGTATTAAAAATTCTTTTACCATGTGTTTAGCATTTCAATAATTTGGTTTTCGATACAATTATTGTTTTCACAATTTTTTAAAGGGATACAGCAGGTCAGGAAAGGTTTCGTACGATAACTACAGCATATTATCGTGGTGCAATGGGTATAATGTTAGTTTACGATGTGACCAACGAAAAGAGTTTCGAAAATATAAAAAATTGGATTAGAAACATTGAAGAAAATGCCTCGGCAGATGTTGAGAAAATGCTGTTGGGCAATAAGTGTGAACTTAAGGAAAAACGACAGGTTTCAAAGGAACGGGGAGAACAACTTGCAGTCGAGTATGGAATTAAATTCATGGAAACCTCTGCTAAGTCTAGCATTAATGTTGAAGATGCGTTTTACACTCTAGCACGAGATATCAAAGCCAAAATGGAAAAGAAACTGGTAAATACATTTCACAATACAATATTGTTCTCTTTGTATATTTTTTTATAGTCAAGGCATTGAAATGAGTTAAAATGAATTGGAAACTACAATCTATATTATAATGGGATAAAATTGTATGAATCCATTTAAAGCATTTACAAATATTCAATTCTTATTTTTACTTAACAATGTATTGGAAGCTAAACATTGTTATTAGCCTTCCAGTGGTGGTGGTTGTGTAAAAATAACAGACTTTCATTTTTTTTAAATGCTTAAAGTTGAATGTTTGTTTGTTGACTAGCCTATCATTACTTGTATTCTTGCCAATTTTTGCCATATACTTCAACATTAAAAATCTTGTAGAAATACCTTGTTCCCTTCCTTTTTGTATCCTTTGCATTCCTTTTGTTGAAAAATCATGGATAATTTTTACAGAGATCATTCTTTTATAGCTCATAGAAAGTATAAGTAATGTAAAATATACACCTTGTAAGATATTATATTCCATTGGATAGATAACTTTGATAGCTAAAATAAATAAAATTATCAAATGTAAACAATTTGGGTGTAACTCATATTAGACAGATATATTTACAAATCTACAGGCGCGGTTCATGTGAATTAAATAGTTGTTTTGCATCTTCATGGAATTGAAATAAATATATATACCAGGTGGACAGAGCACTCCATATAGAAAATAACATACACAAAATTAACTTTTGACTAACTGGATAAATCAGTATAAGATTGTGCCTATGCATATAATGTTTATATCGTGCTGGAAGGCTAAAAGAACATATTTATTAGCATAAGTTTGATTAGTGTTTTTACATTGAAGTATTAGTCATTTTCTTTGTTCACTCATTGAATCGATCGCTCTTATTGAACCAAACTATTTGTAGAGTATGTGCTCTCTTTTTGATAGTTACAAAATTAGAGTTTATCATGAATCATTAGTAAAATTGCCGTTCATACAAATATAAGTTTAATTGCTTTTAGAGATTTGTTATAGCGGATAGTTTTACATTGATTAACCACTGTTTTTTTGTTTCCTGTGTCTGTTTCTCTGTGTTTGGTGCGGGTCGGTCTCGGCAGAAGGTAACTCTTTCCCTCTCTATGTATCTTTTCGCATGCTTGCTTGGAATTTGACTATTTTGCTAATTAATGCTAAACAATGTCATGATAAATTATTGTGCAACTTTTATAAATTGTCACACTTACAAAATTATTTTTCTGAATCACTTTTCAAAACTCATGTTGGAATATATTGTTCTATTTAATCGTACTTTTATTAATTGAAATAATACCTAACACCTACATGTTATGTAATGCTTATTGTAACTTTTTGTGTGCCTTATCTTACATAATCGCGACTATGTTAGTAGCTTATGCACCTCCACATGGAACGAATGTATGTTCTTGTACAGTAAACACGTTGAACATTGCTCTTAATATATGAATTGTGTATGTAGTAGCATAGAGACCTGTACATGTATGAATTTATGCATCTGTATAGTAAATATGTTTTAATATCCGTTTATTGTTTCTAACAAACAATGTTGCTTTTAAATTGACAAATTATTTTATTTTTATTTTAACATATATAATTTAAGCAAGTTTTTAATTCACCTAAGAGCAACAAATATTTCCATTCATGATTAAAAAGAAAAGATGTTGAACGATTAAATTATTTTGAAACAGGAAGCGTCAAATCCACCGAAGGGAGGCGGACATCAGCTGAAAGCGTCTGAGCCACAAAGGAAGCCACCAAGTTGGCTTGCACGATGCTCTATACTCTGACCCTTCGGCCAGTGTAACTTCGACCGTCACCCTCTACTTTTTACCTTCGGTCTCCTTCGCTCGCTTCACGATGCGAGTCCTTCTGTGATTTTACTCCTTGACAGCCACCTTCGTTTCCCTCCGTCGCTGCCGGTCTCTCTTTTTTACTGATTACTCATAGGAGCTCTTTTATCCTGGAGGAGAAACTCACTTCCCCTCACTTAAGAAAAGAAAAAAAACATATTTAAGGATTCTTAAAGGAAACGATCGCGGATTGTGATAATTTTTGATAATTTTCTAACGATGTTAAAGAGAGCTCAGAACGCAGATCCGAAGATACGACCGTAATAACTTCTCTCCTTTACCTATTTCGCGACAATGAAAATAATTTCATAGAAAATTATCCTTGCAATGGTGCAATTTACCGTGCAGTTCGAAAACGTTACAGCTAAACGATTGTGACGATTGATAGAATTCATAGTTGAAGGGGATAATTTTAATTATTTGATCAACGTATAATTTAGAACATAAATCAACGTTGAATGATTTTTTTTCTCATATAATTGGTAGTTTAAATATGTATACTGAAAATTGTGCGTCCGATATGTGTGCAATTTCTTTTTGTTTCGCAGAACAAGTAACGTAGGATAAAACAAGAATGAAGTAATAAATATTAACGTACAAGTTGAATACTTGCGAAAGCAATAAATTATTAAATTGTTTCAATATTTAAGAAGTATTTGAAACTGCTACTTTTATTAACATAATGTTTTAATAAATTATTCAACATATCTACGAGGAAATTTACATTGACAACAACAAGCTAAAAAAGACAAAGAAACGTTTGTTTTGGAGTATGTGCTACAGTTTCTCCTCCATTTTTCCCAATATTCAAGGGGTACGATGGATTTTTAAAATATGTTTGCATTCGTTTTATTTGAACGAACTGAAACCGAGGAAAATTCTTTCGTGAATGGAAAAGTTTTTCTGTTTTTAAGTGTCTCAGCTATTTGTTTATATATATATATAAAAAAAAAAAGAAGGGGGTGCGGATAGGTAAACAATGGGCGGTCATTTTTTATATATAAATGTATAAGTAAGTATACCTATATATATACATATATATATACACATATATATATACATATATACATGTGTATATATACATATGTATATGTATATATATATACACACACATTGTCAAGTTAGCTTTTTCACCGAATCGAAGGGGAATCTTCATTAAGTAACTCATTAATTAGCGCAAATTCAGGTCTCAAAGAGAAAGTTCTTTCGATTTTCTTTCACTTTTTTCCTCTTTCTATCGTCGAAGTAATTAAACAAAAAAAAAAGGTGAAACACGGACTTTGTCTTCGTTTGAAACGCTTGTTGTAATAGTTTTTCGAGGAAACAGAGGGCTCTCCTTTTTTTTTATACAAGAAAAAGGGATTCCGATCTGTTTCCACTTATACTTAAATATACGATTATTATAATACATTTTATATTAATCCTATTCGTCTACTTTTATTGTCGAAACCCGCCTTTCCTTACTCTTAAGCGGTCAATTACTACTTTTATTGTTGTTCCTCATCGTTATTATCATTAATATTACAATTAGTTATAAGGAATGTTATAATTCCATTATCATATTATTAATATTATTATGATTAACATAAAAACAATTTTCTACGTACATAACATTGCACTGTAAGAAAATGTGTAAAACTAATTTTTGAATGGAATGCTTTGAGACAAGTAAAAAGGATTTCTTCGATTAGGTGTTCAATTCAATAAATATAATATACAATTTTAGGTTAGGAAAAGGCAACGAATTAATAGTTAATTATTTTTTAAGGTTTTATTGTATATAAAAAATTATTAGTAATCCTTATATATGCTATAACGGTAAATAATGTATTTTTACTTTAAAATATTTCGTGTTGTTTAACAATATTAAAGTTGATCGAGTGAACATCTTATTAGGTATATCGAGAAATTAAAATAAATGATGGTAACAAACAAATGATTCGAACAACTATTCTAATTATTGGTTATTTTGATTAATAATATTACTCTCATTGGTATTGAATTTGGAGGACAGTTCTTGAAAAATTTTGTTTATATTTTCTTCGAGCGTTGTAGAATCTTGCATCTTATGTTTCAATTCCATTGACATTTCTTTCAACTGAAACGTAACACATCGTATGTATGTATATCTATTGGAATTCTCATACTCCATTCATTAGATTGAATATCGAGCACTTTTATTAGTCTTAAGCAATAATTAAAGAGATAAATATCGTTAACTGGTAAGAAACTGTATCGCCTTATTAATTTCTTACAGTCCGTTAAAATAAATTTTGTATTAGAAAATGATTATTAATAATTTATTCAATTGGAAATTCCAAATCTCAACAATCAATCATTTAAGTTAAGACGTCTTATGTTTTAAATGTAATATAAAATAAGAGCATGTTGTTTGCTATTCATTTTTAACATTTTAGTTTCTTCTATCTACCTTGAAACATAGGGCTTCTATTTCTGGATGTAATTTATTGTTAGTAACTGACGATTTCGATTCGTTTGTCGAGAGTGTGATTAGCTTATTTCGTAAATCTTTTATTTCTGCTTTATTCTTCTCATTTATCGCGTGAGAACAGAGACAAAACGTTTGTAGCCGTTTGTTTAATTCAATTACAGCTTTGGCGCTTTCTACTAAATATTTCTGTTCTTTCGAAATTTTAGCAATATTCCTAAAACGATGAAAGACGGTATAGCATATGACGTACAATCATTAAATTTTTGTATTTGGTCCTATAATTAAAAAATTGGTTGCTTTTAAACAGACAGATAATTGTGTCAACTAGACTTCATTGGACTCCATACTTTAATGTTCAATTACTTTATTTTTGTATCATAGATAAAGTTATAAAGCGACAAAGACAAAATTGTAAAATCTCTACATATGTATTAGTTACTCTCTGTATATTTTCTTACATATCAATATTTGCGACAATGGTTTCATTGTCATTTTTCAACTCATTCATTGCTTTTTCTAATTCTTCTTTTCGTCGCGTTTCCCGACGTAACTTGTTTTCCAAAGATTCCATTTTAATTTTGATTGTAACGGCTTCTGTTTGACTTGAAAATGTTTCCCGCACTAAAATGTCGCGTTCCTTAACTACGCTGTCGTAGTTGATCGACAAATTCGATTGATCAATTTTATCGCGCATTTTCTCCTCTTCCAATCGATCAATTGTTTCCATCGCTAATTTCAAACGACCCCGGAGATCGTGCGATATTCTGCGTTCATTCTGCAAGAGTGACTCTTTCGAGAGAAGCTCCTCGTGTATTGAAAGACGTTCCTTTTCTAATTTATCCAATTCATCCTGAAAGATAGTTATTTAGTCAAAGTTAATTTATGTATTAATTATATTATCTTTCCTTTTCCCAATCTTCCTACAGATTATTTTCTATTTTATAAATTATCACTGAAGAAAATTCAAAACCAAGACGAATGAAGTATCGTACTAACCGTATACCGCTGAATTTCTCCAAGCATTTCATGAAATCTCTTCTCGAACTGAAAAATGTTCGGCGCATTCGATCGAATGTTCTCCATTTTTATAATATTGTAAGCTAGTCTTCTTTTTTAAACTTAATTTAAAATTTTTTTAATGTATCACAGTTTCTCTTGTGAGAACTTGGTATTTTCGATCAAATGAATGTCCACCTAGCGGTGAACATACAAATTAATTTCGGAGTTTGGTCAGCGCCTCTGTCGGAAAAACGCTCAAGTTTGTCGTGGAATAGTTCCTACTTTTGTATTGTCTTAATTAAAAATAAATAAATTAATAGTTCCTACCTATGTTTGTTTTAATTAAAAAATAAAGAATTTAGGGTTAAAAATTGGTTTCCATTCAAATTTTAACATTACGAAGCTTGTTCACCTATTTGTTATTGAATATAATAAAAAAAAAAATCTGGACGAAACAAATGGCTTCATCTAGCATTGACAATTGGAACTATTCGACGACCAACTTGGGCGTTTCCCCGATAGAGGCGCTGAACATACTCCGAAAATAGTTCGTATGTTCATCGCTAGACGGCGATACAAGTTTCCGCGAGAAATTTGAATTTCCTTTTATTTAATTAAAGTTCATTACAAGCAATTGTAGATATTATTGAGTAGTTCAAGAGTCATTCATAAGTGTGTTGTCAAATTCATGTGAGCGGGCTCAAAGAATATTATAAAGCAGTAGAAGTTACATAATAGTGTTTATTATTATCATTATTATTTATACGTGACAGGTTTATCGAATTTGTTATATGTCCATTTACATTAATAATTAGAAATCGATATTTGTTATTTTCTAAAGATTTCCATCAAGTAATTTTGTAATGCACAAATAATCGCTACTATTACACAACTATACTTAATAAAATGCTTATATGAGTAATGTCCATTACAGTTCTAGTTAATATTGTTGTCACTAAATGTGCGTATATAGTGACTTCTTGAATTACAAAGGAATTGAACATCGTTAACTTTATACCATCGAGTGTACATTTCAAACATGTCCATTATTTATTAAAAAAAAAAACAAGAAAACTACAATCTAATTATATTGAATGACTTTATATAAAATTCTTGCTTTACATAACTTCGTACGTAATTACAATGATGATCTAACTGCTTAAAGTTACTGTTTGAATCAAGATTTCTTACAAACACGATTTTTAATCGGTTTATATCTACAATAATTCATTAAAAACTAAAAATATTTCTGTACATAAATCTTTAACTTCGTCCAAAATATCTACGTTGCTTACTAAATGTGATTCTGTCGTATGAAACAATGAGCATAGAAGTTTTCCATGGATAAGTTTTGCATATTTTATAAAAAAACAATAAGAGTATATTAGGATATGATTGAAACGTACTAATAATTCTTGGACTTTACATATCTAGTTTCTCGAGTTTTACTTTCACCTCCTTTTTTAAAGGATCCTTTTCTTCAATTTCATTTTTTTCGTTGTCCCTTTCTTTATCCTTTCCAGAATGTTGTTGTTTCTTATCTGAATTACGGAAACGATCATAACGAGAATCTTCGTCGTCGCTTGATTTACCTCCTGCTTCTGTTTCCCTCAAAATATCACCCAAATCTTTGTCAACATCATCCCACAACTTATTGCTACCATCGGCTGGATAATCATCATCTTCTTCTTCATCAGCCTTTGGCCCATTTTTGTTATCCTTAGTATTCTTTTCAGGTTCAGAAACAATCCCTTTTTGTTCGACTAGCTTACCAGATTCAGCAGCATTAGTACTATCGGTTGTAATTACTGATAATGTGGTATTCGCGGACTGTGGTTCAGAATTAGTTGGAGATTTAGCATTTTCTGTAGTATTTGCAGCATTTGCCGTGGAAGTAGTATTAGCAGATGACGATGATTGTAGATGTATTCTTTCCGCTTGTCTTCGTAATGCCTTATCATCATTATCACGCACATACCTGCGTAAAATATTACACATTACTATAACATTATCGATACCAGTCTAAAAGGAAAAAAAAAAATTCCTAGAATTTTGTAATTTTTACCGTTTAAGGTGACTTCTAGTTGAACAATGAAGCGCGATCGCCCTTTCGCTGTTTTCACTACGTGGTAGGTACATCTTGCACAATTCACAGAATTGTACTTCGACACGTTTTATGTATTCTGCTCCAACTTTGATCATTTGCTTACTTTTAGGCTTCTTTTCCGTGTCGTTCGTACCTTCACTTTCTGGTTTCTCTTTTTTCTTCTCAGGAGACTCTTCATCTTCTGCTGTAAATTATGTTTATATAGCGATTCCCAATGAAGCTTATGTTTGGAATTTCAAATCAAATTTACATTTACTCGACAAATAATATATTATACAGCTCTTAACAACGTACCGTCCACATCACCTACGGAATCTAGAGTCATGAAATTATCAAGATTAACTTCTTTGTCGTCTTCCTCAGGTCCACTTGAATCTGCTTCTGCATCGCCATTGCCAGCGTTCATTCTTTCTTTCAATGCACTTTTTCTCTAAAAATAAAAGTATATACACTGTGTATTTCGACACGTTGAAAATAGTTTAATAGCGCGATAGAAATTAATACCTTAATGTGATCCAAAGAGCACATATGAGTTTCAAATAGCATTGGTGATCGAAATTGAATGCGACAAACGCGACAAAATGGTGTGAGGAATCGCTTCATCTGACGATGGGAATCTGACAGCTGATGTACTGCTTTAAGAGAACGATAATTGAGTTTACAAATAGGACAGAACATGGTACGGGATGGTAAAGTACCACGAGCTGCATCACGGGCCTCGACACGTCGTTGTTCTTGTCGTTGTAAGACACGCATGCGGGTCAAAGTTGCTTTATGGCGTAATGCGATTCGTCTCATTGCTGCACTGTGACGACCCGAATATAAATGCAACGAATATTCTTTGAAAGTAACGCTACGATGAGCGCAATGTGGGCAAGTTAATTTAATGAATTTTCTGCCATCTCTTCTACTGGGTAATTCTTCAGAACCAGTAGCTCTACCATGATCTGTTTTATCATTATCGTCTCTTTCCTCGTCATCGCCGTCATCTTCATCGTCCTAAAGATGTAATACAATAACTTCATTATCATAAATAATATTGTGATCAAACAAGCAGCGTTTTACTCATTTACGAAACGAGAAATTACAAGATTATTTCACATTCAAGTATTTGCAGATTTATTATTAATTATTTGTTTAATAAACACTGAAATAGCCCGCGCCGGAATTCGAAACTGTAAATTTCAATTGCTTATATAATTCGTTAACAAAGCCTCAGATTGCAAAATGCTAAAAGACTTTTCGATTTGTAATGGTAAAAAATGGTAAATTTGATCCTCAAAAAGGCGTACAATGGCATACCGTTCAAAAAAAAATATACATAAGAGCTACTATAGTAAGGTGTTATTCAAAAGGATAATATACGTGACAGTCACTAGAGAACGTTCAGTAAATAGCTAAAAAAGTTGACAAACGCAAAAAGGATAATTGTGATGATTACAATGTCGCAATTAACTTACCTCAAGCTTTCGATCATCATCGTCATCCTTTATTTTCACTTCATCATCATTTTCTTCTTCATCTTCGGAATTTGGCCTATCTCGATCTTGTTTTTCTTTCTTACGTTTCTCAATTTTTTCTTTCTTTTCATCTTCATCTTCTTTTTCTTCTTCATCGTCGCGTTCATGCGGCTGAATTGATGTCGGTAAATGTTATAGTAAATATTATATGGATACATTAGCAATCTTTATGGAGTTACCTTTTCATCGTCATCCCAATTACTTTTGTTATCATCATCCTCTTCATCGTCATCGGAAAATTCAGCGTTAATAGCTTTGGTCATCTCTCTATCCTTGTCCTTCATGCTGGTTCCTGATCCTGACTCCTTTTTACTTCCGGATAGCCTAGTAGTACCGCTACTAATGACACAGCAATTTTGTTTTGACTTACATTATTTCCCTTCGTCTTGTTCTGGTTCCTTTGTCTTTCATTATATCATCAACCAAAATATTTTTTTCTTAGTTGACATACAGCAAATATCGCGATAATATTTTTGTTTCTTTTATCCCCCTTAATGAATGCATTTCGTATTGCAATAAAGGTCTTTAACTATTCAGCCTTTTTGCATTGCATTGTGCTCTTATCTATGTCTTCGCATTTTCGCGTCTTAAAATACATCTAAGAAACAACGTTCTTTTATATTGGTTTTAGTCACCGCTATGTGTAAGAATGATAATTAATGATCTCGTAAAGTACAAGTATTATAGTAGTTCTCATATCAAAAGTAATTACATTTGTGTTTTGACGATTCGCACACAGTGTATTTATGCGTATCAGAATCAATTCCCTCTTTATTTAGAACCCTGCGAAAAGTTTGTCTCTCGACAGTAGAATATTGGTTTCGTGCGATCATTTGTGTCATTTTACTTTTTTTTTGTTTTCTTTTACCATTTATGTCTATCATCGTCTTGACTCTCATGTCATATAGTCGGATATAGTCAGTTCGTTTACTGACAAATAAGCAAGCAGGCTACTAGGACGGTATTGCGGTAGGTAAGTGATTTATTAATTAATTACCTCCTGCGCATTTTGGTAGTAGTCATGCGCACACGCTGGATGTAGTCTCGCGATCGCGATCCTAGCAGCTTGCGTCGATAGTCAAGCGATGGCAGAGTACGCTTGCGAGCCATGACGACGTCCGATCGAGAGCTCATGCGATGGAATCCACCCCCTCTACCGCTGCCGCGTGTTGAAATGCGACCTCTGTAGTTTGAGCTTTGATGCGATATTCGCCCTCGGCTCGAGTTATATCTCTGAGTTGGAGGTGCCATTTCGCTAATCCGAGGGGGTGGTGGAGGTGCATAGCTCCGTGATGCTGAATGACGGTCCTCTGAGCGGTGATACGATGAAGCACGTTCGCTCTGTCTCTTGTCCTCGTACACGGCCGAGGATGACGATCCCTTATTATCGTCATAAGGTGCTGACGCAGACGAACCACCATACGAAGAAGAATACCTCTGAGAGCCGCTACCGCTACCTCCACCCTGCCAAATCAAATTCAATTGTGCTCCTTCCCATTTGTATCTTTCTCTTTTCCTGCCCTTCTTTCTTTTACTCTAGACACATTTCTCCCCACTGTTCCCTCCTATCACATATTTTCCATACATTTTTTTTTTTCTCTAATTCCATTCTGTCGATTCTTTTGCACTCCCTCATTTACCTCTCATTACAGTGCCAATCGTCTAGTACAAAATCATCCAACCATGTACCGTTACGGTCACTACACCCATTCCCGTTGGATCACCAAAATATAGATTTACCTTCCCTAAACTTGAAAAGCGCCTAAGTTACGTTTTATCTCTCACGTTTCAAATATAAATAACTTTATATACCGCTTTTTTTTTTATTCTATGTTAAAAACGATCTTTACTTTTCGAAAAATATAATAGTATTCCTTGCCATTTCATTCGTTGATATGATCTTAGCTATGATCAGCATTCACTTCCTTGAAGATATCAAATGAACTGAATTCTGTATGATTCTGGATTAACTGTTCATGGATAGACCTTTCCAATTTGGATGATATAAAGATAGATGTATTTTTGCATACTCTTATTTGTAAAGCATCCTTTCGTATAATGCTTTATACGCCTCACGCATGCTTATATGGACCCCGAAATCAAATAAAACTAATGAAACTGTAGTTCTAATGATATACATCCTTGCTGTTTTCTTTAAGGGTAAAGTACGATGGAAAAATATTTTGTGTACTTCCACTGCTTGTACAAAGCTTTCCAGCATATATTCTAGTTTCAAAATCTACCTGTAGGTATAAGGTAGAGTCACGCATATAGGAAAAGCTGATGTTTCTCGGGCATTGTTAATTGAACGTAACATAGAATGCATATTCTTTACATTGGAAAGGTCTATGATTACTCTGACATTACTGACAATTTATTTCATTATTCCAATGATTAGTTTTAACTGACGTAATTTTGAAAACTGCAAGAAGCAGCTGTGTTAGAAATTTGTGCGGTGCGGCAATTCAGGGATGCTGTTAACATTTCAATAACTTATTCGCATTGTGCAGGAAACTGGCTCAGTTGCACATATTGTTTTACGTAATAAACAATACAGATGTAATGTCAGCATTTTAAAATTCATATTTGTATATATCTATTCGTTTGTTCATTCTGATAGATTTCAGGTCGCTCTCAATACTTATTAATGCAACTGTGTGCAGGTAACAATATAAGTACCATCTAGGTGTATTTCATCTTTTAATTATGTGATGTTTTCGCAGTGTTCCATCAGTAGTGTCCCAACGCAAAAAGAATGGGTGTTCAAGTAGCCGTTGGCTCGTCGCTTGAAAGGAAAGTATGACGACTTATGAATGCCTTGCCTACTACTCTTTTAAATTTTTTTTATAATTACTTAGACGAGAGTCCTGAAAATACTTCTTACATGAAACATAAAAAGTATTTTCTGAATATTCCGAATACTCGTAATATTCCGAATATTACGTTTAAATACGTACAATGAAAATCTTTCAGGACCATCGTTTGTTCATGCTACATAATTGAAATTTAAAAATCTTTCTGTGAAGCAGGGCTTTCAAGGTGGAAAAATAATTCTTGACCACAGCACGGTAGGAGATTCAAACAAAATAGACTAATGCTCATTCAAGATGTATCTTGTAATAAAAAAATATCGTTAAATTTATATTATAAAACATACCTGATACGAATCACTTCTCATCCTCTTACGAGTGGAGTCACTCGACGATCGATGATCATCTCTCCCAGAGTAAGAATCCTAAAAAATTCAACACATATTTATGGTGTTTATTATGATTAGTATAACTTTGTTTCAGATGAAGTCACTTTCAAGATCTAAAAGTAACACCATCCAAAACAAAAGTTATACTGAAAGTGATATGAAACTAATAACTATATATAATTATTAATTTATATTATATACATACCCTTGGCCTTTTATAACTGTTTGAATGTTCACCCCTTCCTCTGCTAGAATACCTTTCAGATCCACCTATTATATACACAAATTTTCTTGAATACTATTAAATATATTTACAATGGAGTGAGAACTATTGAAATTTTTTCATTTTATATATATGTATATTATTGCTAATGAATTTCAACTAACCAGAATTATATTTTGAGCGAGAGTCATAACTGGTATTTGAATATTTAAATCTGCCACCTCTAGAAGATGAGTAACCTCCTCTACTGGACATGTTTCCTGTTGATCCACTGTTCCATTCATTTCCACCACCACCTCTACCTCTATAAGAACTGCCACCACGGGAATTAAAACCCCTGCCACGAGGACTCATGCTAGAGCTGCAAACGTAAATGAACTGGTTTTAAAATATACAGTTTCTTAAATTGACATTGTATATAGAAATATTGGTCATTTTGTTTCATTAAATAACTACATGTAAAACCTAATTATTAATGAATCAAATGCATATAAGTACTAAGCAAAATAATAATTAAAAGAATTATTTCAATTTTATAAGTAAGGAAAATAATGACTGGTCTTACAGACAGTGATTTTTATCATTAAATATAACATTGTTTCATTGCATTTCAACCTTTACTTTAAATCCTCTTTGGACAAATCATTTAAGTTAAAAAATGATGTAGAGACCTAACAGCTTAAAATTTATAAATATATGCTTTCCATTGTTACCAACCTGCATTTAATGTAGCTGTAACTCATAATTATGACTTACAGATGAGCTATGGATGTCAGATATGATGTCAAAGGTCTATAGACAAAATAAGAATACTTATGTATTGTATCAAATCATTAAAATATATTTCTTAAATATCATTATATGCATTATAATCATCACTTAATTTTATCTACATAACTTAAATTTTAAAGTTTATAATCGACAACAGTTTTTTGTTTAAACAGTAATTTTAATGATTATTTATAATGTAAAAGACCCCAGCAACATTATAAATTCATTTCCTTTAATAGTAAATGCATATAAGAAATTCAAAGTAAAGTTATTGTTACATTGTAAAATGTATAAGTTGGCTGAAGTTAAAAGATAAGACGCATATTAAACTTCGTACATTGATGTTCATATTATACGACTCGGAGGAAAGTTTCCGGCACACAACCGTGTTCACTGAATACTTCAGTATAAAATGAAATATGCTGTAGACATCTCCACGTTATAATATGCGATTTTTATAATAAAATTGGTTAAGTTTCTAGTAGGGTAATCGATAACTTTATCCTCTATTTCTTAAAATTAATGGCTACACTTTAGAAAAATTTCGAAATAACCATTTACCCAGAAATACGCGTTTGCATTAACTAGAGTAGCTTACCTTGCCAGTACGGATGAGTTTTCCCTTTATGAGCAGCTATTGCGTAAAATTTGTACGAATAAAGTCACGTATTTCACATGAAACTCGTTACACATGCCGTGGACGCGCGACGAGGCAGGTAAAATGTCGTCCTTCCCCTAAGCTGTGGCGTCACTCCTCTTCCGAATTCTAACGATCGCGGGGAATGAAGGAACAGAACCGGAAATTGATACCATCATGACTCATATTTATGTTTTAACAAATGTTACACTATTTATTTGTTTTACAAATATCAAATTAAGCATTTTCGAACAATTTATTTGATGCAGTATATTTTTATTATTTTATAGCAATTCTTTGTTCATTTCGTAAATCTTATCGAACTAGTTTCTACAATTTTTTGGAACTTTTCCGAAATGAATCTTCCCATATTTTTGCGCCATAAATTAATTGAAAACAATTTTTTTTATATTCATGTTCAGTAATAAAAAATGAAGTTGCCTTTATTGATATTAAAAAATTATCTACAGAAAGTCTCTAATTAAATTAAACACTTGGAAACAATTTTGTAAACTATTCTCGACTACTACTCTTTATTTTAATTTTCATGAAAAAATAACTAATTACTTAACTACTTTAACAATTGTACTGATAAATGGGATTGTAAGGGATGAAAAAGTAGAAACTGCAACCCAGTTTTATATAATTTTCTGATATACATTAAATAGATCAGGTTTTTTTTGCAAATTCATTACATGCATACATTAATATTGTATAATAATTATAATAACAATCAATTAGATAATAATTTGTGTAATGTCCTTGTCGAAGTCATTCAAATCTATATGAAATCTATAAATTTATTATATGTCTGTAATGTAATGTTTGTTTTATCAATTCATTTTATTTGACAATAGCGTTGATGTTTAAAAGAATTTCGATCATCATAGTATAAATGTACAAACACGTAAATCTAATTTATTTCATTTTGTTATTTATTCTTAATTATATTTACATAATAACCTAACATAGTCTTTATTTAAGATTTTTCTATGAAAGAAAATTTAATGGCAACTGAAAATGTTTACTTATAATACAAATATCTACAAAGAATTCACACAAAAACATATGAAACTTAACATAACCTTTCAACATCAAACTTCATTACTTCAGCTCATTATCGGTATTTAAAACAGAAAAATATAAGCTTAGTCTAGTTGCAACTTTTCCTTGTATATAATACATTATGACTATTTACATAAACCAAAAACACGTTTGGATTTGAATATTATTTATAAAGATCGATAATAAATATAAAAAATATTTTATATCAACTAATTAATGATGAATATGATAATAATTTTTTTTTCATAATATGTAATAAATAAAATATGCAAGTAAATATTCATGTAACAAAAGTGTGAGTAGGATTGTTTGAGCAGTTTGATTCTGAGATTCAACTTGAAATTTACATTCGAGCAAATGAACATATAAATTTTAGTATGTCTTAATAACCTTACTCACACTTGATGGTTAGAAGTATAAATATTAAATATTTTACTTCAAATGGTATTTAAATTAAAACAGCAAGTTATTTCTTAATCACCTAAACCATATTCTACATTTACAGACGATTGATACTCGTATGTATCGTTAGAGTTGTTACTATGACAACAATTCTGAATCACAAAATGCGCAAGTTCTTTTATCCGTTCGTATGGCCTTGGATCAGACATTAATGTATTTAATTTTTCAATACCTCCTTCACGTACAACCAATATGCAGTATTTATGAGCTGTTTAAAGAATAATTACGGTTTTAATACAAATTACTTGTTTTTTTACGTTTCTATTCAAAATTCTTAGCGAATATATTCTTACGGTAAACAGTTGTGAGGTTAGCAAGAGCCCAAACTGCCCAATGTTGACACTGTGGTGTATGGTATACATCTAACAAACGTAATAATGGTAAAAACGACCGATAATTGATATTACGTTCTGAAAATATGTCCCATTGTTCGATAGCTTTAACCATAAGTTCAAGCATTTCAGTTCTAGTTGGTATCTTAATTGTCCATGCTTCAACACCATCAGATGCTATATGAGCTAATATACCGGCAGCATTATAAGGTATCTATTCATAGAATGAAGAGTTTAGATGCTGCATATGAACAATTATTGATCGAATTAAAGACATTACAATACCTCAATGTCTTCACTTTCAGAATGCAATAAGTTTTCAAAAAGTATCATGTCTTGCTCTTGTACTAGATGTACTCTCAGATGTTGGATCTCTGACACATTGCCCAGTAATCCCATCATATTTTTCAGTAATTCTTGTTTGTGACGATATTGCTGTGAAAATAAATTTTGTGTATAACAATTTAATACCTTTTCTATTTATTAAATTGTTTAATTAAATTATAATACTACATACCTTCGCGCACTTACGAAAAAGCACCATGCCATTTTCACTAAAAAATCGTTCACAATTTACAGGAGTCTCATCAGTCATGTTCCACATAGTTGACCATGCTACTTCCAAAACATCATCGTATATGTTATGAATAACTCTATATTGTATTAACTTAAGCATTGTTTTAATACAACCAAGGTTGCCTAATAAACGTTTTTCTCTGCCTGTCACGTGACATGCCAAAATATTTAGAATAAATGTTCCAATACGTTGAACATAACATCCTTGCTGTGCGTGCTTAACCGAATGTAAAAGTAGTTTCACCAATGTTTCATAATTCGACATCTCATAAAACATAAATAACATAATACAGTTAGATACATTTTTAGAATTCATACAGGTTTAAATTAAATTATTTAAAAACAATGTCAATTCAAGTATTATCGTTCTTTAATTAGTAATGAATATTTCAATCAAATGATATTTATAGTTGCTTTTAACATTCAAAATTATTAATGTAAAATACAATGCTAGAAACTGTTGAACATGATAATGCTTGGATTAATGTAGCTTATAAATCATTTTTCCATACCAAGCAATATTCGTATGATTAATTTTAATTAAATGTTTTTTATAAATGATATGTAAAATTTTAATTTATTTCATGAAATAGAATCTATATTCATTAAATAACATCTTAATGTACTAAAAAACAATTGCTTGTTAAGAATGATGCAATCAAAAAGAATTGTTTATCTTGAACAAAAAAGAATTTTGTCTGATTGCATTTTATTATATAGACTAAATGTTATTAATTCAAACGAATATGGTACATACAACATCCTGTGGTATACGGAATTGACATAATGTTAGGCAACCATTACGCATTATACTTTCATCGTTCTTATACATGCTCATTCCAGTAAGAAGAACGGAAACAATTCTTTCTTTCAACCGTGGTTCAAGCTCATCTTTTTCTTTCATTTTTATAACATAAAATAAAGTTGCACTGCAATAAAATTATACTTTGCATTAGATTGTTTGGAGTATGTATTTCTCAGCATGTAAGTTAATGTTATCAACGATTAAGTACCTTCCATATATCTGTATTTGTTTTTCTAGTGGATGATTTTCCATTGCTTTCAATATCACACAAAGTGCTTGATCCACTCTATGACAATTTTCATATCTGTACACACGATGAAGGTCATTTAGTACTTTCAGCAAAAAACCAGGTTTATTATTCATATAAACATGAGCTGCAACCAATATTTGGTCTTCATTTGCATCTCCTGCTATCTGATATTCAAAAACAGAACATACTTAGAAAAATGAAATACTGAAAATATCATAAAATTAAATATTGTGTAATGTTTCAGTTGTTTACCAGTTTTGCTGGAATATTACGTCGCCTACAAGCCTCATTTGTTCCATAGAGGCCTAAAAATTGCAAAGGTCTGTCTACTCTGGAAACAAGACCTGGTATATCACAGATCTTGCTGTTACTATCATTAAACTCAAAATAAGAGGATTGATCAGTTGTTTGTATTCCACAATCGACTATTTGTACTTCTGCTAAATTTGTGCCACTAATATCCAAAGAAGTTAATTGTGGCAAGCCATTCACAATATCAGATAATATTGTATTAGGATTTTCAAATCTTCCATTCGTGGAATCAAGTTGGGAAATATCTAAATGCCTAATCACAAATATTAAAACATTAATTTAAACATACTGCTTAAAATATTAGGTATTGCTTTATTCTGTTATAAAATAAAAGTAAAATAAAAGACAGTTAAGTACCTTAAATTTTTTAAATGGCAAATGTTGCTAATGAAAGCTTGTGCCTGATTATTAATCTTGTCATTGTGTAAAACTAAAGATATTAAATTGGGGACCAAGTCGAAAGAAGTGAAATAGCCTACATGTAAATTATTAGATAAATCCAGATGTGTTAAATTTGTTAATCCAGCCAAAAGTATGTTGTACTCCTGTGGATGAATTCCAACATATTCTAAAGCCAGATTTCGTAGGCTTGGTGTCTCAAACACATACCCTCGTCTCTGATATTCTGGTAATTGAAATTAATGATATTTAAATACATCTTATTTGTTCTTTTTAAAATAAACAACACATTTGGTGTTTTAAATTTATCAATATTTCATCATGGTTCAGATTGTATTAAATTTATATTAATTTTAATTATTTAGAATACTAATGCATAGTATATAACTCTTTATACTTTTTTGAACTTACAAGGAGGATTGAGTATATGTAAGTTTTGTAGAGTATATACATACACTTGTATTTGTAGAAATAGATATACAATATACAAATATTACAGCTTTGCAACATTGATGGAAACTTAATTGTAATGAATAAATAATAAATAATAAAAGACTTATTCGTATTCTTACCACTAAATGCTGCCGTAATGATGGAAGAATGTTCTCCTCGACACACTAAACTTTGTAGATTAGCTGCGTTAGCATTTATATATTCGATAGCTGCTTCTGTGACATTAGGGCAATCGATAAGTTCTAATTCCACAAGCTTATGCAAAGCTAAAATCTGTACTGACTGATTAGTCAGGTTGGATCTTACTATTTTAACACGTTTAAGTTTGGTTGTTGATGTGTTACTGAATATATGAAAAAATTCATCGTGAAATTCTATTGTATCGCTCCGTAGAACGTATTCGATAAGTTTATCACATATTTCACTCGGCAAAACCAATCCATCTAAGAGATTTCGTAAAGAATTCTCTTTATCCCATTGCTCCTTATCCGAAATAATGTCTAAATTTTTGCATATCACTCGAAAACAAAGTTCTGCCAAAGATTCTGACCCTACGTATTTATCCAAACGAAATAGGTCATCTATATCCGCCATTCCGTACGGTAATTTAGACAAATTGCGTAAAAAGTCTCATATGAAAATACGGGTAACAATTACGAAATTTCAACTGTCAAATATGTTAAACGCATCAGCTGGGACATCACTGCCCAAATTTGCTGCGGGACCGTATCATTTTATTTACATCTTCCTGTTTTCCCACGATCGAATAACAAAGACAATATATATTTAATCAGCGCAATGCCGAATCTCTCACAAATCTGTCCAAAATAAATGTATTCACACTAGACGGTCAACGAAATTTATCCGACACTATTCGAGCACGTCTACCAACGACTACTGTATATGTCTGCATACATACAGTCTACTCACACCAACTCACACTTGGAATTTGACATTTTACTTGACTACCGTAGTGACGCTATCTCTCAACACTCGACTATATTATACAGAATATACAGTTTATCAGTACATATTTGACTATAGTTGACTACAGTTAGTGACTTTCCCGCATCGTGTAAAATTCTAAATCGTAAATTTTAAATTTGTATCATCTTAAAGAGAGTTTAGTTTGGCTACCGAAAATCTAAGACACTTTTGGAATTTGATCGCCATTCAATTTATATCGTCAAGGATATGTAGATCCTGATTCAGAAGTCCTGAACATTATACTTGCGAGCATTTTCGGCGCGAACTTACATTAATCATGGCGTTTTTTAGAATTCATATCGTATAGCCAGCATTAAAACTATCGATACGTACGAACGAAATTATGCGATTAATCTACCTTTTTACTACTATTAAATAGTTTTATTAAGATCTAAAACTGTTAAGAAACTTTCGATGAATATGAAATAAGCACAAGTGAATGGTAAGTTTTGCAGGCTATTAGAACAATGTAAATGAAATTAAAAGTAAAATACTTTATTTCAGGATAGTTAAAAAATCACATGTTTTAAAAAAATACATGTTTACATATACTTATAAACATATAAAACGTTTTGCATTTATTATATTCGTAAATAAAAAAACTTAACTTAAGTACAACGTATACTCTTACAAATATCTATATTTATGATCCACAAGCCATGCATGCATCTCCATTTTCACGAGAACATGCCAGCACAACTTCGATGTCATCGATATTTTTATTATTTAACCATTCATTCTTTTTTCCATTAGTAAATTCCTCGTTACTTTCATTATCTGAATTAAAGGACTGATTAGTCGCAACACTGCTGGTATTTCGTAATTTTGATTTATCAACTGTAAATTGAAGAGCATTTGCTGCCGGTTTCGTTCTTAAGTAATACATGCCGGTCTTTAAACCCTGTAGAAATATATTGTAAAATTACACTTGAAATAGAAGGAATATATTAGCATAACGTTTTAAACTTACCATTTTCCATCCATAGAAATGCATCGATGTCAATTTTTCCATCGATGGTTTAGCCATGTGAACATTTAATGATTGTGATTGATCAATGAAAGCACCACGATCTGCCGCCATTTTTAAGATTGTTTTTTGTGGTATTTCCCAAACAGTTTTGTAAAGCACTTTCAAATCTTCTGGTATGCGTTCAATTGCCTATCAGACGATCATTTACATTAACTAATCTTTTATCGAATAATTATTTAGTAGTATACGAAATGTGTACATAGTATTAACCTGAATAGAACCATTATTTGCTATAATTTCATTTTTCATATCCTCGTCCCATAGATCTCTTTCAGTTAAATCTCGTAATAAATGAGGATTCACTACTTGAAATTCTCCAGATAATACTCGTCTTGTATAAATGTTACTAGTATATGGTTCTATAGATTCATTATTTCCTAAAATTTGGGCAGTAGAAGCTGTTGGCATGGGTGCAATTAACAACGAATTTCTAACTCCATATTTTGCAATTTTTTCTTTCAATATTTTCCAATCCCACAAATCAGTTGGGGTGACATTCCACATATCATACTGTAAAATCTAAAAATGCAATAACATAATTTATATGCTACGACATTACAAGAAAAGTTATGGTAGTAAAGTTAACGCCGAATTATACTTTAATTGTTCTTAAAATTTAGTTTACTTACTCCTTTACTAACTGGACTACCTTTGTAAGTTTCATATGTACCCTTTTCCATAGCAATTTCGCAACTAGCCTCTAATGCACTATAGTATAATGTTTCAAATATTTGAATGTTAAGTTTTTGTGCCTCTTCGCTTTCAAATGCGTATCGCATCAAAAGAAACGTATCCGCGAGTCCTTGTATTCCAATGCCTGTAAATACATGACAAATATTTACAAACATATTTAAATCATGTACAATAACTAGATACTTACCAATAGGTCTTTGTTTAAAGTTTGATACTTGCGCTTCTGGTATCGGATAGTAATTAACATCGATGACTTTATCCAAATTATGAGTAACGATTTTTGTGACTTTACGAAGTTTTTGAAAATCGAAAGTTCTACTAGTAGCATTCACAAACATATTGACAGCAATTGAAGCCAAATTGCATACAGCGACTTCATCTGGACTTGAATATTGTACAACTTCTGTACATAAATTACTACATTTAATCGTTCCTATGTTTTGATGATTTGATTTGCGATTACAATGATCTTTGTACAACATGTATGGAGTTCCTGTTTCAACTTGTGCAATTATAATAGCGGTCCATAGGTCTCTAGCTTGAATCTGTCGTTTGTATCTCTTCTCGTTTTCATACCTAATAAAACACATTTATATAAAAATAAAAAAATATTCAGTTATATAATATTCAATAATGTACCGCGTATAGAGAGCTTCAAATTCGTCGCCCCAAACATCCTGTAGACCGGGAGATTCGTGTGGGCACATTAAAGTCCAAACACCATTTTCCAGAACCCTTTTCATGAAAAGATCAGGAATCCATAAAGCATAAAACAATTCTCTTGCTCTATATTCTTCTTTACCTGTGAACCCCAATTAAACAAAATATTATACAAGTATGAAAATAAAATTAGGTGTATAATTAATCAGTGAATTACCAGTATTTTTTTTCAGATCCAAAAATTCAAAAATATCTGCATGCCATGGTTCTAAGTATATAGCAAATGCTCCTGGTCTTTTATTTCCACCTTGATCAACATATCGTGCTGTATTATTATACACTCTAATCATTGGGACCAAACCATTAGACACACCAAGTGTACCAGCTATTGGTGTACCTCTTGCTCTAATACAATGTACATTGAGTCCAATACCACCTGCTGATTTACTAATAAGTGCACATCTTTTTAATGTATCATAAATTCCCTCGATGCTATCTTCGCTCATTGTCAAGAGAAAACAACTGTAAAAAAAAAACGAGAATTTTTGATTACAGATTGGAGTGTATTTTATCATATGTATTAGATATATACCTAGACATTTGCTGTCGTGTGGTACATGCAGAAAAAAGTGTTGGCGACGCATGTGTAAAATATCTTTCTGATAAGAAATTATAAGTTTCTATAGCTTTATCGATATCTTCACCATGGATAGCAACTGCAACTCTCATTAACATATGTTGTGGTCTTTCGACAACCTTTCCATGTATTTTTAATAAATAACTTCTCTCGAGTGTTTTAAATCCAAAATAATTGTAACTAAAGTCTCTATCATAAATTATTGCAGAATTCAATCTATTTGCATTTTTTTTTATGATATTATAATATTTCTCACTAATAACAGGCCTATGTTTATCTGTATATTGTTCCTTTACATGATACAAATCATATATTACATCTACAAATTAAACATAAGAATTAAAACTAAAACAAATCATAGAATAAATCGAATACCAGAGTACATTAATTTAATGTATTCTTCACAATACCACTAAAACTTTTTCTTGTTTCCTTATGAAGATTGGAGACTGCAATTCTTGCAGCTAATATAGCATAATCTGGATGTTTGGTAGTCATAGTAGCTGCAGTTTCGGCTGCAAGATTATCTAACTCAACTGTAGTAACTCCTGAATATAAGCCACTGATGACACGAAAAGTAATTGCAGACTATAAACAAATAAAAACGAAATTAATTTATCTTAAAAGTTAATCTTAATTTGGTAAGTTTGGTAATGAGATACTTAATAATTAAACGTACAGGGTCTACATAGTCCATATCTAAATTGTAACATAATTTTTGAATTCTGGATGTTATTTTATCAAAATGAACGTCTTCCTTGTGTCCATCTGACAAAAGTAAACATTAGTTTGTAATATAATAGATTTGAATTTCATCAAGTATCAATGCAAATACAATAATAGATAGATTACATTTCGGAATACTTACTGCGTTTTATTACATACATCTTCCCCTTGGCACCCATTTTTAAGTAACAATGATCGTCTGTAATGTATCCTGATCTTACGAAAGCACAGTAATTTTCCGGTTTCTATCGTACCGGCGTTTACCAGGAAACACCATGAAATGTAATGAAATGGAAGCTGTTAGGCGGTTACCTGTGGCGTGGTCACGTAACATTTAAATGCCGCTACCGTTTGTATATAGTTCGAATGTGAATATTTGAAAAACCGTTACAAATTATTTCTTTCGCAGTATTTGACTGTGTAGAATATTCGAATGAACTCATCCGTTTTTGTATTTTGAATTGTTCGTCCTTAATAATAATAAGAAATAAATACGTATATACGTACACCAATACATGCTGAACATATAGTTCTGTAGCGACATGACTGCATGAATTGGCTGGTATATTGCGCATGTGAACTGACGTGAACTGAAACTGAAACTATGAAATTATTTGACTCGGTCGGTTATATTATTAGACACGAGCCTTCGTTTTTAAACTTTTAAACTATCACGCTTTCTCTTGTGGGTTCCCGGTATTTTCGGTCAAATGAATAGCCATCTAGCGATGAAAATACCGAACTATTGAACTGAACTGAAATACTCTTTTATTTACACCTTTATACATATTGACATGATTATACTAATTGTCTAAATACATTACAATTATTATCTCTTATAGGTTAATTTAATTCCTGTCTTGTTACTTACTGTTATAAGTATGCCTTTTACTTAGACATACTTATATAATATAATAATATTTTATAGAAATTCAATTTATATCATTTTTACTTATCTTATAAATTAAATTTCTTCTTTTATATTGAAAATTATGGAAATGAGAGTTTATTTACGTAAAAGAATCTTTCTATATTCTGTTTATATCTAATACTTAACTTATACTTTTGTTTTCCTTCCGTAATATCAACTAAAACTTTTATTTTTTTGATAATTGCATGTCTATATTTTTATTACACTGTCCTCACTCCTTTACTTTTCTCTCTTTATTTTTTCTACATATAAACATATGGTATGATATAAGTATTAACATGTATTATATTATCTAATTATCTTTGTAATATAACAGTCATATAAAGTATACCGAACTATTTTCGGAATTTGTATCAGCGCCTTTATCGGGAAAACGCTCAAGTTTGTCATGGAATAGTTCCTACTGTCAACGCTAGATGGAGCCATTTGTTTCGTCCAGGTTTTTTTTTTTTATTATATCCAATAACAAATAGATGAACAGCTTTGCAATGTTAAAACTTGAATGGAAACCAATTTTTAACTCTCAATTCTTTATTTTTTTAATTAAAACAAACAAATGGCCCCATCTAGCGTTGACAGTGGGAATTATTCCACGACAAACTTGGGCGTTTTCCCGATAGGGGCGCTGACCAAACTCCGAAGTTAGTTCGTATGTTCACCGCTAGATGGCAACGCCAATTTGCCGCGGGAATTTTGAATGTCTTTTTATTTAAACGAATTAAAGTTCAATAGAAACATTTGTAAGATACTATTGAGTAATTTACGAGTCTTTTACAAACTCAAATTCATATGTGAACGGACTCTTGAAGTCAATCACTTATTCTAGCACATTTTCTTCATTTTTCTACTCTATTTTAGCTTCTTTTGAGGCTTCTTTTGAGGGTTCTTGACACGTCTCCTTTTGACCAAATAAAATCAATAGTCCTGATTTTGTATGAAACTTAGTGTTATTGGTCCAATAGTTATTTCCATTATTTCCAATACTTTTCATTATGACATGATAACCCTCGTTAAGCATTCCTGTCACTAAATATGCTGCCATTTCTGCAGTTTTTTATTTCGCATTTAATATGTCTTGCCACGAAGTGCCACATTCAGGTTTAAAGAATTAATATTAAAATTATATAAATTAAAGAAATCAAATATATTTTTCCAATAGACTACAATTTCACTTTGATACGAAACTAAATTTACCATTCTAGTCCTGTAGATTACAGAGCACTAGAATTAAATTAATAATAAAATGTGCAATATTTCACTTTGATACGAAACTAAATTTACCATTCTAGTCTTGTACATTATAGAGCACTAGAATTAAATTAATAATAAAATGTGTAATTTTACACGAATGGCAACACGAATAACAGTTTCAGGTCTTGTAATTTACGATCATTGAAAACCCGTGGATTCACGGATTTTTATTTAAATGGCACCTAGCGCGAAACGCTTGACAAAGTCAAGATCAAGTGTGATCCAGCGTATTTTGAGCATGCTCATCAAAGGAGGGAACAATTCGCGGCCATCGGTATGGTGAATCGGTTATTAGTGGACTTCGGGGCCCTCTCGTCATTCACATAGCGCACCTAAATATAGAATGACACTGTGGCACCAATTTGTTGAATGAAACGATAGGTGTGTTGGTGCTTGGGGGACTGAACAGCACCGTGGGGTAGATCTCTAGGGTACAGCAGAAATCTCGGCGCTCGCCGTTCGCGAGCACGATTTGTGAACGTAACGACACGCTCTGTGGCAAGTCGTTTATTCATTTTTTTTCTCTTCCATCCACGACGGTTCCACGGGCTAATTATCGGTAATAAGTTTCGGTCTAGTAGAAATCACGTTCGGATCTCGTGGTGAATTTGTGACATGTACGTACAATGTTCGAACTGCATGGGCGAGAGAACGCTAATCCTTTTCCGCGAGCGCGATCACGGCTGTTAACAAAGTGTCAGTTATTATTTGATCAGTGATTACGTTACGAGTCTGTTAAAGACTGTTCCGTTCGGCTAAACAGAATTTCAAATAATTTTCTTCTCTTTACTTTTGATCCTTTTCTATTTTTTTTTTTTTTTTTTTATATGGAACATATGGCGCTAATTATTTGTTGTTCGTTTTTAATCAACAAAAATTCTTGATCGCATCCTGTTATGCGTACTGTATGGTATCGCAGTATTTATTGTCTCGGGTGATTAATTTTAATAGCCATCGGCTCCAGGACTTTGCATGTTGGTAATTTAACGTAGAAAAATGACGAATAAATATTTTTATTCAAACTAAAGTTATTAGAATTAATTTGTACGCCAAGTAATTGTAGGAATTATGGCGCAACACGAAATCAGGTAAACTTGTTCTAGAAATTATTTAACGTGTTGACAGATTTTTTATGAATTTTGCATTAATTTTTTGATATCTGGTGGATGAAACGATTACAACATATATATATATATATATATATATATATATATCGTTACGTCTTTGGTGTCGATGAAACAATTGAAACCGACAGAAACACCGAATGGAAGTGTCCTAAACTTTATTTACGTTCATTCGTTCGGGTCAGTTACTATACAATTGGGCTTATTACACAATTGAAGCGCAGAAGATATAAATCGTTTCATACTCGGAATAACGTCTTTAAAAGGACATTGCACCCCGTGAATTTGACGTTAATCGATCCTCGTTCGTGTTTGTCTTCGGAAACTTATCGACTTCCGCCATGCTTTAACAAATCGAGCGCTCAAGACGGAACGACGAAACCACGGACGAATAATTTATTGCTTCCACCCAGCGAATTGAAAATTTAAACGGACACGATACCATTGCGGCGAGACGTCCGCCCGTCGTTGTTCGCTGTTCCACGTGATGATCGCCGATGACATCGTTTCTTTCACCGATGGTTAATTTAAAATGGGACAAGGTTGCACGATGGGAACAACGTTTGACAAACGTGATTCCCGGAAGTGGCTCGTTGTCTATCATCCATCATCATCAAGACCCTTGCACAGCAGTGTCTCACGTAACGACGATGACCGCTGAACATTTAAAGTTCCTCAGAAGCGATCGCGTCATCTTTCACCTAGTGCTCGTTGTAAACTCGTCAGCGCCGATAGTATTATCCGAATTAGCAAAACATCTCGATAGACCACGATACGTCACTGTAATATCCTTGTACAGTGTTGGAAAAATTATCCGTTAAATTCAACGCGAATCACATGTCTCGAACTGTCCATCAATATTTTTTTTTGTATCGTCTATAAAACATTAAAACAAAACGAATAGAGACGATTGTTTGTTTGGCTTTTGTTTTTTTTTTTTAAATATGAATCACGTGTTAATTAAACGACAATGCGAACGAGATACAAGTCGACTTTTACGGTTTACTTCTAAACGTTTGTTATAGATTCGATCGAGACATGATAGGATGAGGTGAATTCGGTCTACCTTGCAATCCGGACGAAAAATAATGCCTTCTAGCGGATCCAAAGTACCTAAGGTAGACAGGTCCACAAGTCCTCTGCCACAGAAGCCCGTCAGTCCCGTCCAAGAATTGAAAGCCTTGTTCGCCGAACCGCCCTTGAGAGTCTCAAATGGCGGGAAAGATCAAGAATTCCGCTTCGAGACCATTCAGTGTTTGCAATCCACCAGTACGAAGGATACAAAATCGCTGCCGGAACGAGGAACTTGGAGCAGCAAGGTGAATAAGCAACCTCATATTGAATACATAGTCCAAATAAAGGTAGCTTTTTTCCTCGTTGACATTTCTAAGCAACGATCAATTTTAGAAACACGCGTGAAAGGGATTTTATTATACATTATATCGAATTATAGTCAGCGTAAGAAGTATTCGTACAGTAACCAGTTTAAAATGAAACTAATAAGAAATAAGAGATTAACATCAAAAGTAATAAACTTTAATTGATGCAGATTCTACTCTAAAAATATCTAGGAATGTTGGTCAATTGTTTCTTCCCCAAAAATTTATTAATAAAATAAATATATGAAGTTTTATTTTGAATTGATTCCTGTACGAATACTTATTACACCGACGACGGTATCTTGTATTTTACTTTATTCTGTTCGTCAACTGGATGTCCTACATATTGTTTGCCATAATTTCCGAATAAATTCAAATTTCACTTTCTCGAGAGTGCATATTTTTCCAGTCTTCGACTACGAAAAGCATTCTTTGTCAGAGAGAACCTTAAGGAATATTTTTCGCTTTTTTTTTCCAAGCAATAATTCGTGTTCTATTTCCAGGTCGAGTTCATCCTATCTGTAGTCGGATTAGCGATAGGATTAGGAAACCTGTGGCGATTTCCTTACCTCTGCTACAAAAATGGCGGCGGTGCGTTCATGGTTCCTTACTTCATCGCTCTTGCACTCGCCGGCGTGCCGATGTTCCTAATGGAGTTGTCTTTGGGTCAGATGATGACTATAGGCGGATTAGGCGTCTTCAAGATAGCTCCGATTTTCAAAGGTTCGAGCTCGTCGTTTGCCTCGTAACTTTCAACATTCTCACAAACAAATAACATCGATGTTTCCATTTCTTCGCTTGACTTATCAAATAATTGAATAAACTTGATACAATTGGCGTCAGAGAAATAATATAATTTACTTTCACGATGTTTCGACCGAATACAAAGAAACCTTAGGAAACGCTTGAGAATCAGGAGTAAAGTGAAAAACTCCCAATAATGGTTGTACGATGGTAACGATAAGAACATAACTATAGCACCGTTATATATTTTTGAATGTGTCAGACTTTTAAATAGGACTGAAAAATATGACCACACGAGCCAAAAGGATATGACAAATAACGCGTAACTTATTTTCCCGCGGTGGTATTGCACTACTAAACAAAAAGACATCGAACAAGTGATATCTTTTCTGTATCCCTTTGATACCGACAGAATCACGTTTAACCGATTCCTTGCAAACAGGTATCGGATACGCCACATGCGTGCTCTCCTGCTGGACGAACGTGTACTACATCATCATACTGGCGTGGGCGCTCTTCTACTTCTTAGTCTCGCTGCGAATCGGTACGAAAATGGCACGTACGATGCGTTTAACGAAATTAATCAGATTTACTGAAATTTCTTCCCGGTTCGTCTGCGTAGACGTGCCGTGGAGAACGTGCGACAACCCTTGGAACACGCATTACTGTCTCACCACCACGGAACGTTTGGAAGCGATGTGTTGGCCTGAAAATGACGACACTATATGCGCCACTTCGCTCGGCAATGTAAGTCACACCTTGCTGAGGGATCCAGTGAAAGAATTCTGGGAGTAAGTTCACGCAACGAAGAAATCGTTATTTTAGATATTTCAGGCTTTTACTGCTCGATACTAACTCTACCGTTTTCAAACTTTAGTAGACAGGCTGTCCCAAAAACGTTGGAGTTCCTTGAAAGGGGTGGTTCGGGGAGGAGGTGATTTGAAACAACTTTCTCCTCGGTGAAAATGTTGTTCGAGGCTACGTTAAGGAGATATTAACGGAAAAGTCCAAACAATCGCAGCGCGAGTTCAGACAGCCGCAGTAGCATAGGCCAGTGCTAGACAGCCGCAGTAGCATAGGGTCTTCACTAGACAGCCGCAGTAGTATAAGCTCCGCGATAGCGTAGCGCGGTTCTTAACGAAGCCTCGCATAACATTTTCACTAAAGAAAAAATTGTTTCAAATAACCCCCCGAACCACCCCTTTCAAAGAATTCCAACATTTCTGGGACGCCCTGTATATTTCTTATATGCAGTACACGAATTATATACGATTTTTTCGTGTATTATTCGATTCAGTTCCGCGTAAATTGTTGTTTCTGCGTTTAGTTCACAAAAATGTTGATGTGTCATTTAATCCCTGAAACATGTTACGCTTAGAAGCCTCGATTAGTATCGAATCATAAATCGTTTCGTTCGGAGTTGATACTTCATTCATTCTCTTCTTTTTTCTCGAAAAAGGAGACGTACTCTTCAAATATCCGACGGCGTGGAAAACGTCGGTGGTGTGAGATGGGAACTGGCGGGCACGTTAGCCGTAGTTTGGATCATGTGTTACTTCTGTATTTGGAAAGGCGTGAAATGGACAGGAAAAGTAAATTCAAACAGTTGTATACAATGGGTAAAAGAAGTATTTGCACGGTTACGTTTTTGTTGCAACAACTTTTCACGAACAAATGATATATTCATTACAATCGTTTCCCGGAAGTCTTTGCTTCCAATGTCTTGTTTTCGGAACACAATACTAAGCATAAGCATAAGTTACAAATATTTGGTCGTCCTAAAAGTTCGCGCCATTTATACTTCTATTTCTCAAATTAATATGTGAAACATACTCTTAAGTGTCACAAGAAAAGATAATCTGTCTCATTTCGCAATAGTTTCTCACCTCTCTCAGATAGTCATTATACCGTTACTAAAAAATTTCTGTGATTTTTTTTATTAAATTTCGACACTGTCTTCGGCACGAACTTATGGGACGACCTAATAGAAACAATTCGAACTAACGTATTACCCGTTGCTTAAAAAAAAAAAAAAAAAAATTAAGAGTGCCGATACACTTACTATCCACTATATGTATTTCTCCTAAACGAAAGTGAATATTATTAATCGTTAACATTCGCACAGGTCGTTTATTTTACATCGTTATTTCCGTACGCGTTGCTGGCACTTTTGTTGGTAAGAGGATTAACACTTCCAGGAGCGATGGAAGGTTTGAAATATTACGCAACGCCAAACCTATCGAAACTCGGCGATCCCGAAGTACTGAAACGTTAATTATCCTTGCTTCAGTAAATGCTGCGCCTCGTTGGATCGCTGATTAATTAATATTTCCATGAATACCCGTAGGTGTGGATTGACGCGGTGACGCAGATATTTTTCTCTTACGCGCTGGGTTTAGGAGCGTTGGTCGCCCTCGGAAGCTACAACAAGTTCAACAATAACGTTTACAAGTGAGTAGCTTAAGTACTTCCTCCGAATAATGCACGCTTCCATTGAGTAATTTCCTTCGAGTATACAGGGTGGGCCATTAGCATAGGAACATCGAAATGTATTCGTTCTTTATGAAAAAAAACTGATCGGAACGAAATGAAACTGTTCGAAGAGAAAACATAATTATTGAACAAATTAAATTTCTCTTGAAGTAATTTTTTCGAGGTTTCAAGATTACACGGATGTTTTTCTCAAATGGCTAAAATATAATTGAATTGATAGTGTACTCTGGCGTTCTAAAACAATGAACGTAAATTGATGCATTTGTTTCAGAGATGCACTTATCGTTTGCACAGTGAATTCGTGTACCAGTATGCTTAGCGGCGTTGTCATATTCTCTGTAGTAGGTTTCATGGCTCACGAACAACAAAAACCAGTTGCGGATGTAGCTGCTTCCGGTAACTACATTTTATATTAAATCAAGGAACAGCATGCATAAATTTTGTTTCCTTTTGATATCATTATTTTTACAATTTCTTTCGACTAGGTCCAGGATTAGCTTTCCTGGTTTATCCTTCCGCGGTTCTTGAGTTACCTGGATCATCGATTTGGGCTTGTTTATTCTTTTTTATGCTTATACTTATTGGCTTAGACAGTCAGGTAACTTAACATATCTTAACGAAACTATCTTCGATAATTACGATCGATTGTTATGTCTTATAGTTTTGTACAGTTGAGGGCTTCATAACAGCCGCGGTAGACGAGTGGCCGCACGTTCTTAGAAAGCGAAAAGAGTTGTTCATAGCGATTGTCTGTTTTGTCTCCTATTTGATCGGTCTTACTTGCGTTACCGAAGTAAGTACGTAATGGAAATAGTGACCGTACAAACATAATCGTATATCCAAGATATGTAGATTAATCAAAAAAATATTTTCATGTTGTTTTCAGGGAGGAATGTATGTATTTCAATTATTAGACTCGTATGCCGTCAGTGGATTTTGTCTCCTCTTTTTAATGTTTTTCGAATGCATCGCTATCTCTTGGGCATTCGGAGTGAACCGCTTTTATGATGGCATTCGTGACATGATTGGTTATTATCCTTGTTGTTGGTGGAAGATATGCTGGACATTTACTACTCCTGTCATTTGTGTGGTAAGATGTACTTTATTAAATATAAAATCTAGATCTAGAATCTAGATGCTTCGAGTTACAAAATGCCGACCAAAATAACGAGGAATAAAAAGAAAAATTTTAATTAGGGTGTCTTTACATTCAACATAATTAAGTTCGTCCCTGTGAAATACCTAACGTACGAGTATCCTTGGTGGAGTCATGTATTAGGATGGCTTTCTGGCCTTTCGTCGATGTTATGTATTCCGGGCTATATGATTTACATTTGGTGCACAACATCAGGAACTACCTCTGAGGTATATAACTTAAAAATGATCTATTGTCTCCAAGTTCTGTAAAATTCTGAGGATCATTTTTTTCTTTCAGAAATTCCGAAAACTGATCAGAATAGAAGACGATGTCGCGACCTTAAGAATGAAGCTGAATCCGAGCAAAGCCGTCGCTATCAGCGCGGAACATGAACTATAAGTGCATTGTGCTCTTATTCGATGACTATCGATGATGCATGTGTGTTATTTCAAAGTATGACTGAAGAAAAGCATGATTTCATATATTGAACAATATCATATCACGCAATCATGTAATCATTAACCATAACAAATAAAAACCAAATGCGAGTACAAAGTGAAATGCGTTAACAATGATGAGATGCAAACTTATAATAAAAAAGATATGGCTTGCATTTCTAAATCTAGAATGCGATTAAGATAAAATAAATAATTTTATTTCTCGTAATTTACATAAGGTCGGTTTTGTCTACTGTATACAACTGAAGACAACGCGTTACATCTAATACACAGAACTGTGTAAAACCAGAGAAATTGCAATTTCATTTTTATTTTTACATAAAATGTAACTTGAATTTGTAACTTAAAGAAACAGAAAAAGAAGTATGTTTACGAGCAATTACATATTTCGTGTAACAGCATTAATTAAAATACTTAAATCTACTTTTCCCTATTCTGTATTTCTTTAATGCGGCCGATAAGTTGTTCTTTCCATTGATCTTCAGATATAGTATTTGCCCATTCTGGAATTGCTGCAGTTGGTAACATGAAACTTGCCATCATAGATTTTACTTGATTAATTTTCTCTGCGTCCATGTCGATATTCGATCGATTATGTGGAGATGACCAAACTTCAATTGTTTCTGACATACAATCCTATACGAAACGTATTATAGTACAAAGAAATAATTAGCATTAGCGTTGCAATCTATATAAATACTTACTTGATGTGGTTCTAAAGATGGAAGCGGTAATGTTTGATTGGATTCGCCTGCATTGGATACCCATTCGTCATCCTAACAAGTAAAGTACACGATTATAAGATACATGTTTCTGCATATGAATAATGAACTATAAAACAAGTAGCATACTTCGTCTTCGTATAACATGGGATCACTATCTGTAGGTACTTGAGATAAGGGTACATATCCTGCCATTCCTACATCATCATCTTCACTGTCCGATTCATTTGCTCCTCTAGCATCGAGTTGTAAAGTAGGTGCATTTAAAGTTTCCTCTATAGGTTGTTGCGTTGGGTCAGGAGACATTGTGCATCACTTATTTTTATATTTACTATATTTATTACTTCAACTCTAAACATATATTCACTTATTCCGTTCAAAATTGGAAATTTCTAACCTCACATTTGCACACGACAATATTTTCTGCAATAGAACCTACAAAACGTGCTTCGTATAAAAAAAATAGCATTCTAGTAACGCAACTAATCTTTCTACCAAAATATTTTCGATCGAATGAATTACAAATGACGACGAATTAATCGCGATAGAGAATCTGACAGCTGACAGCTGATTCCTCTTACTGTTTAACACTAACCCGGCTGACCACTTTGTGTGTGTATGTACATGTATATATACTATATATGTACTATGTTCACCATTGTTCTCATCGTCAGATAAATCGTTCAATATCTCAAAAATTATACAAATATTCAATTAATTCGGAGGTGTACATATTTAAATGCATTTTAAAGTTTTAGATTATTATATCAATGTTCTTTCGAGAAAGTAATATTTCGGAACATGAAAAGTTGAGAAAAAGTAATCGGGAGATATATTTCTATATTTTAATGTCTATTGATTGGAACAATTAAAACTTATTATCTCCGACATAATTAAACATTTATGATACACGTAGTAGCATTCAGTGTTCCAATAAACATTAATAACAATTACGGTTCGGGATAAGTATTCACTCGAATACATTGATTGTGAGAAAGTTGTCAATATCTTAATATCTATTGATTGGACCAATTGAATATTAATTTCTGACAATAGTTACATATGTAACTATGTAATAATATTATAATAATATAATAATAATATTAATATATAATAATATAATTATAATATATATAATTAATATTAATTATTAAGAAGACTTATTATTTAAACAATAAATAAATCTTCTTCTTTAAATGCGAGAATCATGTCTTTAAAGTAATTTGAGTGATTGTTTTGTACGCAGAATGCATACTTTTCGAGTATGAGCAAAGTAAGATTCAAACAATGAAATGCAGTTGATATGAAATTTAATCAAATTCTTGTTTCAACAAGTGTTTGTATATTTTTTATTCTTTAAAAATTCGACTTTTAACGATAATTCTTTCCACATTGAAATATAATGGGTGTCCAGTGGTTTTTTGGCACCTTGAATATCGTAGTATAATTGGTTTTCTAAGGAAACTGTTTTAAGACACTGAAACCTCGAAAATCCAAGCGTTCGTATCATTTTGATACGCAGTTTATAAGCATTGCCAGTACAATTCCCGCAGTAAATCCGAATGACGCGAGATCCGTGAAGCTTAGAAAAGGTTAATAGGGGTCTAGGTTCGGATTGAAAATGACCGGAAGAGGCTAACCGTTCCCCAGGGCTGGTTCTAGTCCACTCGCACGGCCTTATCTAAGACTTTAACGAGGGTGCGATCTATTAGAGATAAGAACAGTCCGGCAGAAAAATAAATATCGCTGGCGATAATAGTCTCGTTTCTCCCTACGTTCGTCTTTGTCCTCGCCTCGAACGTTTTTATTCGATAAAAGAAGGATGTCGATCGTTTGTACAATTCCTGCGAGTACTCTCGGTTTACTTTGCTCGAACAATTTCACACTGTTTCAATATATAACAAATGAAATCATACATCTAATAAAATCGTATTCTGGTCTCTGTTATTATTTGAACCGAAGTCGGTACAGTACTTAGATATCGATAATTCAAAAAAAAAGCTCGTGCTAGACTGGTAATTTATAACGTGCAAGACTGGACCAATAGGTGCAATAATCAACGTAAAACAGATTACCTTCATAAAATAAAAAAACCAAGTTTTTCTTTCATTAACTCAACTATTTATGATTTTTGGCAATTTGTACTTTGATTTTCCGATCATATAAACGATTGTTTATAAGAGCCAAACAGCTACCATCGATTTTATTGGTTTTGAGGATGTCTAAAACCTTGTGTCTCTACATCATTTCAAAAGCTTTCTCAATGTCTAGTGATATAAGATATTTATTTATAGATAAACACATTGTTTTTTTTTCTAACATCCATCTCAATCGTGTGTTCGCTATTTTCTCCAGTAATTTGCAAACATTGTGAGTGATATCGATCTATAATTTTTCAGGATTTGTCGGATCTTTTCCTGGCTCGAGGACAGGAACAGTAGCTCGACAGAAGCTCAACAACGGAAACGAATTTCTCAAATTAGTCAAGATATTAATCAAATACGTTAATTTCAAAGTACAACACGTTAACACGTTGACTGCCAGAGAGATATTCATGAAAATTTCAGCTAGAATTAAATATTATTCAGACTATTGGAGACTACATAATCAAATTTGGTATGTATTTTTATAACTTCATCAAAGTACACGTATTTCATTTAAATTCATTCCCTTTGAAGCTTAACTTTCAGAATTAATTTCGTCAGTTCTTCAGTGAAATGCACTGTCACCCGCATATGGGTGACGTGGCGATCAACGTGTTAAAGAAACTATACGATAATTAAATTGTAATCATTGACGCGATAGCCTCGTAGTCGGTGTGACTTTGAATAAAGTATTTAAAGAAAAGAAATGGTTTTTCCGGTATGAAAATTTCGAACGGAGCCAGAGGTAGCAAAAATGGAGGCGTCGGATGACGTCGGGGAAAAAAGAAAGCCGAAGTTTTTGGGGCGGAGGCGAGAGCAAAAGTTATTCTTCTGGTACGCGTGCACCAGCGGGAGAGCCCAGCCAGAGCAGGTTCCCGCGAGTTGAAGAAGAAAAGAGCGAGATTCGCCTTTCGTCGAAGCGCAAAGCAGAGAAGAGCGTAAGTCTTGGCAGCCGTAAGCCTCGGAGATATATTGTCCGTTTGAATAACGTTGTCGGTGCTCTTGGGGGCCCACTCCGCGCCGGCAGCGGCCGTTTATTAAACGAATCAGTGTTATCGCGGTGAGAGAGCCCTCATGAATAAACCATCGAGTGTTTAGGGCGGCGGAAAGGTGGTGGCATCGGGGGTTACGGCCTTGCAGCGACCGCTTCCAACCACCACCACCCTCCGTAACGGGAGAGGAACGGGGGAACGGCAAACTCTAACGGGCTGGGGGTGGTAAGCTCGCCACGGGGTGCGGCTATATTGTTTTCTTGATGAGCGCGAAACATCCCCCGAATCTCTACCGTATGCGGGATAATTTTACGCGTCACCCTGTCCCGCGGACCATTTCGCGCCGCGTCCCAAGCTTTCACGTCGCGTGCTTCGCGCGAGGCTTTACGCGATACGTCGTCTATTACTCTATCGTTCTACGTCGTGACCTCTCATATGTACATTGTATACCTCGTGGGTGTCGACACGAAATAGATTTTGGGAGGCTCGTTTGAAGAAAAGAATTTTATTTTCAGGCTCATTTGTTTGAAAATGGGTGGAATTAATAACAATCTATTACTTTTATTTCGAACGTCTACTTTATTCGACGGCTTGGAAGGACGTGTCGATCGTTTAGAGAACGAACGAGAACTAACTAAAAGCTCAGGCCTACGCTAAAGAGAAAAAGTCTAACGTCCACTTAAAGAAAAGAAAATTCTGTCTGCGCTCTGTTCATTGGCCTGGCCTTCGACGCCAAACAGGCAAGGATCCTCAGACCTGGTGGCGTCAGTCCGATACTTTAACTGTTAAAGGTTAACAGACAGAAAGGGCAGTTCTTCAAAGCGTTTAATTAATACAGTAGCATGAGAAAATTGACGGGACTTACAAGTCCTGCCAGTAAATAAGGGGTTAATAGACGTAAAGGGTACGTATATTTAAGAGACCAACTGTAAATACGAACGAATGCATATGAAACGTACAAAGTTTTTATCAATTAACCCCCTTGCGGATGTTAAGTTATATCTTTTATTAGTAACAAAAACTTTGCCTCGATAAAATATGTTGAATTATATACGTATACATTTGCGTTAAGCAAAAATGAATCTACCAGATCTGCCAGATTCATTTTTGCTTAACGCAAATGTATACGTATATAATTCAACATATTTTATCGAGGCAAAGTTTTTGTTTTCAGTTGGTCTCTTAAATATTCGTACCCTTTACGTCTATTAACCCCTTATTTACTGGCGGTACTTGTAAGTCCCGTCAATTTTCTCATGCTACTGTATTAATTAAACGCTTTGAAACCTATTGCGACTTTCAAGTCCACTTCTTTGAAATTCGTTTCTAATTGTCGATACAAGACCACGACACACGCCCAGATTTAAAAACTTTTTAAAAACTTAATTCAATAAATAAAGGGTTAGAGTTTGTCTAAATTAAAGAATCGATGTTTTCACATAAATGTTTCGTTATAAATATGTACATGGATATATATTACACATGTATATACCCCGGACTGTATAATGAAAAATTGATTTGGAAACGTCAAACCTATCGTTTAACTTAGACAAGTCCTATAAACACAGAGGCTACGAATATTTATGTATCATAAATACAGTCAGTGTAAGTGTATTAAAGTTTGTTAATGTTTGGTAATTGACAATTATAAATGATAACTGCTCCCAACTTTTACATGGCAATTGAATTTAATTCCAACAGAAAATTGATTATTGTTAGAACATAAGTAAATTTAGATATAAGCAAATGCACCACTATAGGCACATACGCTAAGCGTGCGAAGGAGACACTTTTTTTTCTTTTTCTTTATGTGCGAGCACGTAATAAACACTCGCTCTGTAGAAGCCAACACGAGCAGTCGTCTATTTTTCCTATCCACGAAGATATTTAACAATTACAAATAGAATTAAATGATCATTTCAGTTGAAACCCGTCTTCAACGACTAAAATTTATTAAATACGAAACTGAGTACCTTTATTCGACGAGTAATAAACAAAAATATTTAATCTTTCATTCGATACTCGACATTCTTATTTAGACAACAATTTTACCGAGCTCTGTTTACATCCTGCGCAATAATAATTAACTCGCGACGTTTACTCTACGAAACAGCTAAATTTCTGTTTGTTCCAAGGAAAAATTCTGCTCATTGTTGGCGCGAAGAAACAAGCGCCTACCTCTTGGCTCGAGGATGAAGAGGAATATAAAGGAATATAAAAAGGCTGAGAGTCGGAACGCTTTAGAAACTGTATAAACTTGAATGTTGACTCGAATGTGTAAGCTGGCATTGGCCCTCGTGGCAATGGGGGTAGCACTGAGAGGTGTACACAGCCGCATGCCGTATCGAGGTGCAAAGGTATTCCGTTCACGGGGGTTGGAGTGGGAGGCGATAAGGGCTGAAATCACCGGGGGCAAAGGTCGCTCAGTTACTCCCTGTCCACCGAACGGTACGTTTTATTCCGCGCGTGTCCGAACTCTATCGACATAGGTGATCACGCGTGTGCAGATTTGTGCGTGCGTGGGATTTCAATCTTGTAAACACGTGACATGTTCTTTCGTCGTTGAATCGTCTTCTCTCGATTATCTATCGAAACATTCTATTCAATCGGACGGGGAAGCATTACACGATAAATCATCCTCGACACCAAAATCCTTCTAAACATTGCAATCCGTAATTTGAGTAAGAACCACTTCGGTCCTGATTTTTCGTTTGGATGTAAACAAATATTTCTTGCGTACTTCGTACCGTTCGAGATTCGATAAATGAAACTGAATTTTAAAATTGCGACATTCACGTAAACTTTAGTAACTACCCTGAGATTTATCGACGATGTACGATGTTAGCTAATGACTCGTTACTAGCGCGAAAATCGACGTAGATTTAAACTAGCACATTGCGTAAATATAATTTTTCTTACGTAAAATGAAAATGTTATTTTTTATAGCCACCTTTGTTTAAGAATCAAGTACCGTCAATACAGATCCTTTTGCAAAATATGTCCAGAAGATGTCATTAAAATTCGTAACAAATAATCGACTGGAAACAACCAACAGACTGCTGTAAAATTAAAAAAGGAGCTCTTTCTTTAAAACAAAATCTAGAACTGTTGTTATGGCATTCTTTTTAAGTCGCTCCTATATAATGATTTTAAAATTGACCATAAATATTATGTGGTTGCGGTTGGAAGTAAGCGTCTAATTTCTGGAAAATTAAAAATGAATACGTTGAAAAAATCAAAGACATTTAGCGATTAAAAACAATCATTGGATTGCGGAAAAATTGAAAAGGGACTCTTCGTTTAAGAGATCGCTAAGTCCATAATGAATACCGGATTGGAAATAAACGTCAAATGCAAAGTGTTGATGGACGACGAGAGACAATAACGACTCGAAAGTGAAACGATAGATACGTATATGTTGTACACGTGGCTTGGGTTTGTAGAACGATTAACAATGGGCCTGTCAAGCACCGTCGTTCACGCGGTGAAGGATTAGGATGACGAAATCGTTCGACACGTAATGTGGAGGATTCAAACGCATCCGCTGCATCTTCAGCAGGACACCAGATTCCACCCTTCGGCAGCTGCCATCCTTTATAACGGTATTTACTGTTATTGCGTCGATTTTTGTTTCGTGAAAGAGTATACAGGGTGGGCCAAGTAAGCGTAACAAGCTATAACTTCATACATTTAAAGAACAGGTACATTTAAAGAAAAATGTCAAAGGGAAAAGATGAATGGTTGAAAGTGTACTATATTTGCGGGGCCATGTTTTTATTTTATAAGTGCAATTATGCACGTGCAATGGATAGTTGAATTATTTCTTTTCAAAGATTGATCCTTTCTATGTGAAAAAGTCTGAGGGTAAAATGGTAAAGAATGGACCGTGAAATATTTTAAACGATCGATGAAGTTTCCTAAAGCTCCGCGATCGCGGTAAAACTTGTATTTCTTCGGGAGGCGGCGATTATTAGAAATTCATTAATAGTTCCAATTTGTCTTTTAGTAGTACCGGTTACAAATTGGTTACAAATAATCCCACGTTGAGTACGGGTTACTCGATCGGATAATCCGAAAGAAATCGTGGCGAGAGGTGAAAATTACAGGTCGAGATGGTAACGGGTGACGGATGGATCGCCAACCATTGCTCTCCTCGGCGAATCGACTTCGTCCCGAGCCACGTCGAGCAAGAGTCGGTGCATGCGTACTTCCGCTTCTTGTCCCCAGAGAGGTTCAGCCTCCTACAACGGACTTGCTCGCTGATTGGATCGACAGCTGGAGCCGGTGGTTCCGGGGCGGTCGGGGGCGGACAGGTTCAACTCTGGCAATTCCTCCTGGAGCTGCTCTCGGATTCGTCGAATTCCTCCTGCATCGCGTGGGAGGGCTCCAACGGGGAGTTCAAACTTACCGATCCCGACGAGGTCGCGCGCAGATGGGGCGAACGGAAGAGCAAACCGAACATGAACTACGACAAACTGTCGCGAGCACTCAGGTAACCGAATTGCCAGCTGCATTACATCGGTAATTGGCAAACCTTTATTTATGGATTACGTTTCACGATGGATGAGTGCTTTCCACTTGGCTAAGGATTTAAGAATTTTAGTATTTTGTGGAATTTACATTTTTTTTTTTTTTCTTAAACGGCCATTTGGAGCAGTTTTGTCTATTCCAATATGCATAGAATAAAGACTGAATCAGTGCAAGAAAATCGGGACTCAAACGTTGCAGTTATCGAACGTAGAAAAGGACAGAGAGTGAAAGAGAAAGAGGTCGGCAGAAACGTATCGGTGAGACAATAGCATCCTCAGTGGTGGGGATAGTCATCTTGCATTTATCCAGTTAATCCTGCCTTGCACTTATCCAGTCAATCCTGCCTCGCACTTATCCAGTCTATGCTTCGATAAAGCTCGAGTAATCTCTACCTACAAAAATAGTAAAAATTATGATAGATGCAGCCGGATGTCCTAGAAGACATCTTTTAGAAGAAAGAAACGTTTCACATTTGCAGGTATTACTACGACAAGAACATCATGACGAAAGTACACGGGAAACGCTATGCTTACAAGTTCGATTTTCATGGACTGATGATGGCCTGCCAGGCCCAAGCTGGCGTCACGTTGGAAACGTCCCCGTCGTCCCGAGGTACAGGTGCAAATTGTCACCCTCACCATTCGCGTCACACTCATCACCTGTATCCGACAGCACCCCCAGGTTCGCAGCATCCAACTGTAACCCCACAGGGACCGCCGCCTCCGCCACCTCCGCCACATTATTGTTGGCCTTATCACCGATATTCTCCGCCTACGTAACATAAGGAACTGATTATCTTTCGTACTTGACAATGTGAGGTCTTCGTTCCTGCCATCCTGCGTAAATAGCGTAAACTGCGAATCGCAAACTAACTGCGATCGATAACGACACCACACTGCGTATCGAAATTATACAAACACTTGGACGATAGTCTCGTTGGTTTCATTGAAAAATTATCTTGTGATACCGAAACCTCCGATATCCAAGTGTTTTCGTATACATTTGAATCGACCTTTACTCGATTCTTTCGAGCAACTCGCTTCTGTCCGAGCTACTCGGTTCTTTCCAGCCGCTCGCTTCTGTCCGAGCTACTCGGTTCCTTCGAGCTGCTCGTTTCTTCCGAGTATTCGACTCGGATCGAGAACTGGGTCTCAGCTCGACCCGGCTCGCGAGCAACTCGAAACATCCGAGTTTTCTGCAGGCCTAATATTTCCTAGCTCTGTTCATTTTTCGACTGTATCAAAAATACGTTGGAATCGTGCTTTTAAGGCGTCACACTCCAAAAAAAGTACAAAAGGATTCGATTTTTTTTTAAAGCTGTCACACTAGCATAGCACCTTGAGCGTAGAATAAGTTTAATGTATTACTTAAGATATCGTTATACGTTTATTTATAAGACAGAAACTGTTGTAAATATGCTACGACGTTTGAGCAGGTACGATATGAGCGATAACGTTGTCTTCGCAGACATTCTCCGTGAAAGTTGTATTTATGTATTTTGTTCGATATTACGATGTACAGTTTTTAAACAATCTGTTTTATTCGATGATCATTGGGGAGTCTAATATATACTTTAGGAAGGAGTAAGAATAAAAGTTCCTTGGAAAAATCTAAGTATTAATGTTGTTCATATCAAGTAAAAAGAAATTCAGAATTCCCGCGAGAAATTGGTGTCGTCGCCTTGCGGTAAACGTACCAAACCATTTTCGAAGTTTTATCAGTGCCTCTAATGGTATAAAAAAAAAAGAAACGTTCTCCTTAGGTAATTTTGTTATTGCGATAGCTGTAGTATAACTTCAAGTTTATAACTATAAATGTAATAAAATAGAATTCGTGATTATTATAAATGTGTACTATATGTCGGTAAAAAGATACTAACGGTGCCATCTAGCTGTACAAATAAGAACTATTCGAATACAAACTTGGACGTTTTCTTGATAGAGGCGCTGCCAAACTTCGTGAATAGTTCGATATGAAAGAAATATTGTAAAAGAATGCAAAAACGTAAAAGTGGGAACAGTCCGTAAAGGACTATCACTATATTAAAGTTAAATAAAAATAAAAATAAATAAATAGTTCGATATGTTCAGCACTAGATGGCTATTTATTTGAGAGAAAATACCGGGAACTCGCAAGGAATACTGTAAACATTTAAAAGTTTAAAAAAGAAGTCTACTTCCTTTTTGAAAAGTTATGTTGAGATGTGAATATCATTTTATTTAATTATATGTAAAGTATGTTTTATTAAAACTTCGTTTGTATTTATCACGGAATTTACACCTATGTCCGTGCCGTGCCGTGCCTAGGGTTTTGCCCATCACTGTCCAGATGCCGCCTTGCGTGAAAGAGGGAACCATGGACCTAAATCCATGGAAGGAACCAATCAAAAGCGGCACAGAATAACCAATGTACCGCGTGGTCAAATGAGCGCCATTTCTCTTTCATCGTAAGAAAAGGTAAATGGAAGCACGCTGCGAAGCGATGCGCTAGATATCGGATTATTGTAGTGCCATCGGCATGATTTTTACGTAAAAAGCTTCAGAATGTAAGCCAGACGGCATAATCATTAACGTTCTCTGATTATTTCAGCTCCCCATTCCATCAGAAACATGTCAGACGTAGAAAAGTAAGTGTGTCTTTTTTTATAATTATTAACAACACATTCTTCGAATCGTTAAGCAAGATTTTTTAATGAAAAACGTAGGTGATTAGAGTTATGCATTGTACCTGTTTATTGTAAAAATTCTTAAAAGTAAAAAATATTGATGTATACTAAATCGGCATATAACCTTAAATTGTGCATGTCAGGAACATGTTACGAGCAATTAAGTGAATGGAATTGTTTATTGTTTTTTCTTAGCGATGATGTCCCTTCTGCGATGACAGCAGGAGGTGCAATGGACATAAACACAGCCCTGCAAGAAGTTCTTAAAAATGCTCTTATTCACGACGGTGTTGTACATGGCCTTCACGAAGCAGCCAAAGCTTTAGACAAGTAAGTTTTATTGAACGATTCATTTTCATTAGTCGTCTAAACAGTTTTTCGTATTATATGATGAGATGTACCAGGTTCCCTCTTCTGAGAATACCCGTTACACAAATTCAATAAATAATGATGTCTGTAACCTTTTCTGATGTGCAGAATGGCTATTATTTTATGCATAAAGCATAGTACATAATGTTTATATATGCATATTGTCTGTTGTGTTCCAGGAGACAAGCTATGCTCTGTATCTTAGCTGAGAATTGTGACGAACCTATGTACAAAAAACTGGTTCAAGCATTATGCAATGAACATCAAATTCCGTTGATTAGGGTAGATAATAATAAGAAATTGGGCGAATGGTCTGGTCTTTGTAAAATTGATAGTGCTGGTAAAGCTCGAAAAGTTGTCGGGTGCTCCTGTGTTGTCATTAAGGTATGAGTTGTTTATTATAATTCTAGTTTGAAATCATAATAATAAATTCAACAATACTATATGATGAAACTATATAGGCTCCCTCTTCTGAGAATACCCGTAAAATTAATAAATAGTGCTGCAATTAATGCCTTTCTGATTTATATGGTATAATTTTTATACTTTATTTTTACAAAATTTCTTTTTCATTAAGTGGTACGTTCCAATTTTAGGACTTTGGGGAGGATACGCCTGCGAAAGATGTGGTAATGGAACACGTCAAACAAAGTTCTGTACACTAAGACCTTTTAATAAAACATTCTACATAATTTCCTACGTGTAGTTTATTTAATCCTTATGTATACTTAATAAAATTAACTAAAATTCATTGATAAATAGTCGAAAGCTATTATATTATATTTCTTCTTCATTGCAAATTAAAAATGATAATGGATACTTTTGAAATCACTTTTCTTTGTCGTCTGCACCTTTAATTATTTTTTCACAGATCACTTTATGTTTTTCCCAATCCTTTACTTGACATTCTCTATAATTATATTAATCATTGTTTAGTTAGAGTAGATATTTTCTTTTCATAATAATATTAAAAGAAGTACCTTCCACAATACCAAGCACTTTTGCATTTAGAACAACGTTTGTTTGCCACCTCCTGACATAGAAAGCATTCTTTGACATCGATACAGTCTAATTTATCCAAGTCGTATGCATCGCTTATAATTTGCGCTGCATTCCTAACGTCTTCCGCATCTGTTGTGTATATGAATTTTGATTGATGCTTCGCCAATTTTTTCCATTTTTTATGATACTTCTCCATTATCGATGTTTTTATCTAACGAAAATGTTTAAATGAGTTTCGTACCATCATCGGAATCGATCATTTCAATTGATAATTTCGAACCTGTGGTATAAGTTCCACGTTTACTGCTCGCGGTGCCTTAATTCGAGACGATGACACACTCAAATAACTTAGCCATCTTTTCAATTCTATCAGAGGAGAAATTTGGTCTAATACACTTTCGTCTAAATATTTCTGTAACTGATGCGAATAATAAATTACTTTTATTCGTTAGTTACATATCTATTTACAATATGTAATACCTTCAACAGTTGAGATATTCTGTGCTCGGTAATTTCGTAATATGGTGCACACTTTGGATTTAGTAATAACTCTCGTAAACCAAACCAAACTTGCCCTTCTATTTTAGAAATTTTTCCTTCTTCGCTCGACTTTAGTTTTTTCCAGCCGCCGTTGTATATCATACTTTCACCTCGATAACAATAATTTTATTTGAATCGATCTTCCATTAGTTTCTAAGAAATCTAATAAGCTTATAACACCTGGAACACTCTGTTGCAGAATTACCTTCTTCATTTTCCCTCGTCCACGGATGGCTTTCGATAAGTTGAACGAGAAGATAGGGTACATCGTGCGTGCTCAACATTCGGGACAATACACAAATTGGCAAACTATCTGAGAATTCTGCTAAATAACGGAGAATCGATATGCAACGCATGCCGATGTCAAACTCGAGTTCCTTCTTTTTTTCTAATATTTCTTCGAGGCACGAACTAGTAATAAATAATGAATAGATTAGTATATTAGTAGATTACTTATTACTTACTTATTATAGTAGATTATTCTACTATATATTAATTAATATACAATACGTACTACATATTAGTGACTAAAATAAATCGACAATAATATATTATATAGATATATATCTAACGATCGCTCACTTGGGATTTTTTATATTTTCATAAATTTCAACGTCCTGTATATCCAGAAGCTTAGAAACACATCTAACCGAGTAATCGACAAGATCGATAACTAAATCGTCGATAGTTTCGGCACTTTCGCAATGAAACAATACATTTTCCAATAAAGAGACGGCTATATTTTCATGGTAAAATATTGTGAAAAGCATGAACGTATTTTTCGGTTCTGCATTTATTTCTACTAGTAATGGAAATACTTTATGCTTCCATATATCAATTTGGATAGCTTCGTATACAAGAATCGATATCTAAAAAATAAAATTGATACCAGGGTAATGGTTATTGTGCAACACAAGGATAAATATTTGTTTACCTTTTTAAAAGAAACAAACAGTTCCTTAATAGTTTCTTCCCGCAAAGCGTTAATCTCTAAAACGCTTTGTTGATTTAATAACATCAGTCTTTTGTGAAATTCGAGCCAACTGAAAATGATACGGATATTTATGTAGTACACGTTAAACATAATTTATATGATAAATTATCGGTGCCTGTAAGAAATTTACCCTTTCGTTCCTACATCTTGAAGTTCGGAAATTTGTAAAGTTTGTATGTACGATTCGGCTTCCCATGGTGAAATTATATATTCCATGCGGGTTGACATTTTTATGATAAGAAAGACGTGAACGAACGCCGACCATTTGTAAACAAAATATCATAATCGATATCCTCATAGTAACAGCTTTCGTAAATTATAATTGTAAGCTATAAATATAAAGAATTAAAAAAAAATTGTATTGCTGTACAGGTGTATCATTTATTTTATAACAGGAAAATAGGAAATACTAAACATAAATTACGATTATATATATTAAAACGTTTAAAAAAAGGATAAATAAAATGATCTGTATCTCTTTTTTTTTTATTTTAATTATTTCGAGTATAACAATTTCATATCTCATCATAACTTTTCAAATAGAAGGTAAGTAGCGCGATGCTTACAATTTTTAAACTATCCACTAGTTTCCCGGTATTTTCGGTCAAATGAATAGCCATCTAGCGGTGAACATACGAACTATTTTCGGAGTTTGATCAGCGCCTCTATCAGGAAAACGTCCAAGTTTGTCGTGGAATAGTTCCCACTGTCAACGCTAGATGAAGCCATTTGTTACGTCCAAGTTTTTTTTTATTATATCCAATAACAAATAGGTGAACAAGCTTCGTAATGTTAAAATTTGAATGGAAACCAATTTTTAACCCTCAATTCTTTATTTTTTAATTAAAACAAACGAATGGCCCCATCTAGCGTTGACAGTGGGAACTATTCCACGACAAACTTGAGCGTTTTCCCGATAGAGGCGCTGATCGTACTCCGAAAATAGTTCGTATATTCACCGCTAGACGGCGACACCATATCCCCGCGGGAAATTTGAATTTCCTCTTATTTAATTGAATCAAACCTCATTTTCTGTTACATGATCATGTGGAATAAAATGAATTACTCTAATATACGAAAGTAGAATATTTTATTTATCGAAAAAACACAGGCATAATTATTGTAAACAGAGAAAGACAAAATTCTTATCTACATACAAATTTCAAATATCAAAAGAAGATAAATAATTGATTTGCAATTATTAATTATTATTTGAACACAACTTTGCTCATGGTTGATTGATTACAGAATATAGTGTATATATATCTGAATCGTAAATAATAAAAAAATAAAAAAAAGTAAGCATATAATGTTTGTAGGAACTTTTTATGTTAAATCAATTATATTCTTATTTTGTTTGTTTTCTATAAAAGATGTTGTCTTTCTTGTAATGTTCTCCCTTCTTTTCTTTGGTATAGAATACGTTTTTAATTTGGTGTTATCATTTCTGCTTGAAGTATTCATATTGTCACTGGATGATCTGGATTTTTTAGGCATGGATAATGAACTACTGGATGAACTATAATTCAGAAGACTCGACTCAATGGAATCATTGCTCGATTCAAAATTGGATAGATTGTCTTTGGTATTTTTTGTACTGCATATAGGTATCTATAAATTGAGTATGAGTATAATTAAATTTTTATACATATTAAGTTACGTTTTTAAACTAACTGCAATTACAAACCTGTTCCATTTTTCGCTTAGTGGGTGTAAGAGTTTTCCTTAATGTTTCTTGATTAATTTTTTCTTCTTTTGACATCTTTTCAACTGGACTATGTTCATCAGATTTATTAGAAACCACCGGATTTCGATGTTCTGATACATTGCTACATTTTTCGTTAAGACCGAGTACTTCCTCTAATTCATCAACTCGTTTTTGTAAAGACATACATTTGCTTTCTGCAAATGCTAGTTTTTCTTCTAATTCCCTGTAAAAACGACTTGATAAATCATACCTCACTTTTAGTATATAAACAGTTTCGTATCTTACATTTGATTCGATTGCTCTTTCACAGACATAGAACTATACTTTGTATTAACATTAGCAAGTTCTCTTCGAAGCCTCTTAACAATTGTGCGTAAATCTTTACGTTTTTCAAAACTTGCAATTAACTCTCTATAAATAATATAAATAAGAATATTAGTGTGATTATTATTTTCTAAAGCATCTCTTTAGATATTACTTACTTCTTCATAACAGAAATATATTTAGTGAGTACTTCAGGATCTTTAGTATTTTCAATCATCTTATTAACATTGCAGAGAGGTCCACGTAATAATGTTTCTATCCTAAAATCGAAAATTAATAAATAAAAAAGATACGTAATAATTGTGTATGTAAAAATTACGTACGGTTCGAGGTCTTCAATTTTACTTTTTAGGTGAGCAATTTCTTTTTTTAGTTCATCACAATACTTCATTTCCTCTCTTAGTTCATATATTATTGAATTTTGTTTACTAATCTCGCTTTCTACTTTTCGAACCTCTTGTTTAAGACCAGCATTCTGTTTCTCCAAAGTAATAGTTTTCGAAGTATAATACTGAATGTCTTTCTCTTTCAGCAGGATTTTAAACTTTAAAGTATCTATTCTTTCTTTTGTAGAGCAAGTTTGAGGTTCGGCAGGCTCATTATTTGAAAATGTAAAATAAAGTCTATATATTTTGCTTTGTGTCACCTCATCTCTGCATTGTGGGCAGCTGCTTGATCTGAAATTAGAACACATTATTAGTATAGTTATTGTTCTAAGCAAAAATCAATTAAACATTTGCAAACAGACATTTTGGAGCATGTACATTAAGAGAATACTTTAAGAGAATTATTTGTCAAAATTTGTTTACCTTTCGAGCCACTGTGTCAAACATTGAAAATGAAATACGTGTGCACATTGGGTATGAAAAATTTCATCTGATTGTACCAAATGATCTTTACATATAGCGCATATAATATTCATTTTTATGTGAAAATTACATAAACATTTAGAAAGAAAACACCGATTATATTTTCATATTAAACCGATTATATTTTAAATAAATTTAAATCCTAATTGTTGTGCTCGATAAATTACGTTCTTACGATGACAATTGTCACGTTCTTCGCGTAGTAAACTGCTCATGCTTCAAGCTTCAAGGAGGTTACACACGTGCCATAATAGAGATACGAAATGTCATTGGTAGAATTTGAATTTATCCCCTAGGTACTACTATAAAATCTGGATTTTTTTTTTCATTATGATCTACATGGAATGTTAAAAAATGGCACCCAAATTTGCAAAATCAACAAGGAAATATGTGAAAAAGATAGGAAATGCGAAAGTATCAATGAGTATCAATGTTTTCAATTAATAGTGAAATAAAAAAAATTAAGCAGTGAAGATAAATTTGTTAACAGTTTATTGGAGAGGTATACCTCAAACTTCACCTCCATTTACATCTTAAAAATTAAAAACATTAGAATCACTTTGGAGGTAAAACTGGAACTTCTTGTTTTCATGCTAGATTCATTCCTGTATTGAATGGATAATTTAAAATTCATTAAAATGTAATAAAATACTATATTGCTTTCATTTGGCGAACATGAATCGAAATAAATAAATATGAATCATTGGTTTCTGTGATTCAAACGAAGAGAGAAAGTGTATTTATAAGTGTATTTATAGATATAGAATGCTATTATTTATTTCATTATTCGTTATACATAATTTCTTCCCCATAGACACAAACTTTTACGATAAATCTAATTTACGACGATACTTTTTAGGGCGCGGAATTTTTTGCCCATGGTATTAGGATCTTAAAAACGTTTGAGTTTCGCCTCTGTGAGTGTACTTTATGGTCCATTGCTGCAATCCCTATTTTATTAAATCGTTATAAAATGTTTCGTTAATTATACATTCATTATAAAGCAATATTTTACTAAAGAAAACATTCATTATACTAGTGTGTGCGTGTGTAGGCATGTACGTAAGAAAAGTTGTTCTCTTTGGCTCTTTTTATCAATGATGGGCAAAACCCTAGGCTTCGAATAAATCTAAAGTTTGCTGATATGTTTGTCTCGTTTCCTTCTTTGGAAAATGTACAAAAGAGGAAATGAGACAAACATGTCGGCAAACTTCAGATTTATTCGAAGCCTAGGGTTTTGCCCATCACTGCTTTTTATACAATAATGTCTTTGTGTTGTACCATGCGTTTGCCGGCGCTTGCCCAAATTGCGTGTATCGATTCAGGATTTGACCGCCAGAGGCGCTAGGTTGAAGCTAGAATAATTCGACACGGGTTTGGCACGCTCTTCGGCGATTTCCCTACTCACCTCTGGTGGTACCTTCTGGAAAGAACTGGTCTTGCAAAAACACTAGTCAGTACCGGAGATTTGCCGGCATACGTACATGTGAGTGCGTGAATAGCATCGAGCTCATTTCGCCTTTCCTAACGGCAATTATACCGTTGGTGTGAAATACCGACATTCACATAAAGTAAACAAGGTAGGTCGTTTTTTGAGGTAGGTATTTCGCATCGTCTTAGCCTTTTGTACAAGTATACACATTTTTGTAGTAGTTTGTACTAGATTCATCCCTCTATTTCTCAGCTTTGTCATTCTATGTATATTCTACAAGCTTCACTGTTTCCTATAGTCGTATATATGCGCGTCAGTTAGCCTAAAATTGATGCGTATTTTGGGTCAATTGTTCAACGTATATGGAACGTCAGCCATTTGTTGGTTAAACGATTCTTACGTGACAGTGAACTCGAATGCCTATTATTCGCGAGGAAGATCCGGAAAATATTCCATTCTGGAGGTCATCGCTTTCTTACCATTGTCAAAAGTGTTTCGATCGCGTTTGACGTAGAATGTTCCATCCAGTTTCTTTCAACAGTTTTTCATCATTCGTCAACTTTTCATCATTCTCGCAAGATCATAAGAAATGTGTTCATGCAACAATAACAACACAAGACAAACGGATTCACCTGATTCGCGTGAGTTAAATATCTATTATTTATACTCATCGACTCCAGTCTTTTGTACACCGTGTACGTAAATAATTGAGATTTAAATTTAACCGGTTAAATGTGTGTCACGGAGAGAAAAGTACCCTTCTCGTGCTCTTTGTGATTAACAATTTTTTTATTTAAAATAGCGTGCTCTACGAATACGAGTTCTTAAACCTCAACGATGTAAGTGCTTATTTGTACGTTGTAAACGATTTTAAAAGTGCAACGCAAATTTAGATAAATGCTTTATTATATTTTTATTGTCTATTAAAAGATCAATCGCGTAAGGCATGTGCTCCGAATGAAATTTAAGAATCTTCGATTCTACAGAAATGCTACATTTAATCAGCAATAGGGAATAATATTAAGTTTTGTATCGTTATTTAATACCGGATACAATCACTTCGAGTTTTAATCCATCGCACGTAATTTGGACTCTTTTAGGCGACGATATCTTCAACGTGTTTTATAATTTCGCGAATTAAACGTACCCACACCGGTTTCGTGCTTCTTTGAGACGCACATGTCATGGCACCCGAGTTACACCGAACTTTCCCGAATCTTCACGAAGCGGCGAGACATAATCCGAAAGTGTTTGTTACGAATATTACCGAATTAAGGTGTTACGCCACTTTCGACGCTTCAAAAAACGTTTTTTGTTTTGTTTAAAATATTCTCTCTCTATATAAGGAACCGATATTAGTTAGAAATCGATGTAGAAAGTGTAAGGGCAGTTTCGATCTGTAGAAATGAAGGCGCGTATCAGCGCGCTAACATTTCGCGCGTGGTGCAAAAAAGGATTTCCATAACTTTTTGGCGTTATGGCTCTCATAGGTTGGTACTCCGGAAAAATAATCGATATCGTAGTGAAAAGTGAATATACAGGGTGTCCCAAAAATGTTGTAACACCTTGAAAGAGGTGTTTCGGGAGGTGATTTGAAACAACTTTTTCCTTAGCGAAAATGTTGTCCAAGGCTTCGTTGAGGAGATATTAACGGAAAACATTGACCAATCAGAGCGCGAGTATACTGGTGGAGCGCTCGCGGTAGCGTATGAGCGCGGTCGCTTAGCGCGTAGTCTTCGCTACCACGGCCGCTCCATCGGTATACAAGCGCTCTGATTGGCCAGGCTTTATTTGTTAATATCTCCTCAACGAAGTCTCCTACAACATTTTCGCTAAGGAAAAAGTTGTTTCAAATCACCTCCCGAACCACCTCTTCCAAGGACCTCCAACATTTTCGGTACACCCAGCAGAGTCACGTGAATTCCGGTATTTGAAAGAAGGAACAGCTGACTATGCAGAATTGGCGGCAAATCACGAAAACGTATGCAGTTCGAATCATTCAGGCTCAGCCGGAAAAATGGAGGTCGATTCAATTATTGAAATGTTTTTGCTACCATATTTCATACAATTTCCACGGAAGAGAATCAACTGCACGAAAATTGTCCAGTCGGCGAAGATTCGTGGTGTACTTGGCAGCAGGCGTTTGAACAGTTATCAACACAAGCAATGGATTCAAAAGTGCGCGATGATTTTCTACCTCTTTACGAAGAATTAAGCCTCGATGATTTATTAAAAATCCTCGTCTAGTAATCATACTTGAATTTTTTGCTGATATTGCTACTTGTATTTTATATGACGGCATATGTAGTATTGTAAGAATAGTGGGAGCCTTGGAGTTGCCTTTGGGATAGATGAAATATTTATTTCGTAATGTGTAGACACATCGATTATTACGTTTAATGGATAATAATAGCCTCGACTGGCCGTAACTGCATGATTTCGTTCGCGATGTAACATTCGTGATAAATTGATAAGAAGTCTGAACAAGCGGTAGACAGTTGGAGACATGAGTGCGTCATGTAACTGAAGAATAGGAAGCATTGAAGTTGTGTTGCGTAATGTTGTCATGCGCGAAAATATGAGGAAAATCTGGATCTATCTTGGTCTATATTCTAAATAGATTAATTTTAGACGCTGATGCGTCCATTAATCTCCGGCCATCACCGAGCCTTATCACTTCCACACGGTCCGGACACGACGATTACTTCTATTGTTTGTAACTTGACTTCGCTACGATTTCCTCCTCATTAAGGGGAGAATTCAATAAAAAGAAATGATAAACACTGAAAATGTATACATATCACATGCAGTATACATTTTACACTTTAATATACAAGGTGAGGCATCTGAAATTTCCTTATACAAAAGTTGCATCGTGTAAGAAATATTGTTTACCGTTTGTTTAATTTTGCGACGGTTTATATATTTTTGTTAACAAAGTCTTTCCAGACTCTATCCTCAAATACATAACTCATTGCGTATTTATTGAACAAATTTCTTTTCTTAAACATTGTCTGTTTTCCTACATCCTTTCCTATACATATATCCACCTATTAAAACCTGTTAATAACAACGTTTTTCATTTACTTTCATTTTCGAAACTTCGTTATTTGTTTATCGCATGATACGATAAAATACGATTGCTCGAATCGGTGATTATAATATTGGGCAAATTAAAATTACTTGAATCGATTTATAATTTATCCTCTTTTTGTTTGTTTTCGAAGCTTTTATCTACATAAGAATTTATTGCATGTCTAAACTGTGGAAGAATTCCTTTTTATTTTTTTCTCGATCGAGTAAGATCGTGGCCGCGTGCGCGACGCGTGCCAATTTTCTTCGTTATCCTCTAGCTTGTTATTAGCTAACACTAGCACGTGATGATAACGTGACGATAACGTTTTTTTCTCCCCGTTCCCTCCCTCGAAGCGCGAAGGCAATATTCCAGCCGAGAATTCCCGATTCCGTTTCTCTACAGCCCGACTAAATTGTTTTCGTTTACATTTTTACGAGCAAGAAGTGTTGCTTAATTAGGCGATTTGAACGTCGTTCGCCTCAATCGTTGGAAGCAATTACACATAATCGTTAACGTTTCGAGAAGAATATCGAAAATAAAAGAAATCTGTGAGGCCTCTTTTTTTTCTCTTGCATACAACGATGTTGACAAACATTCAAAGTTTTGTTTCGCTTTCGCTACTCAACAATCATATCTTCGAATTTGTTTTTTGTATCGTTCGATAGGAAATGTGACAAAAATTATTTTGTTGAATATAATGTTTGAATTCTAAATGCATCTCTGTGCTTCAGATGCTTGTCACCTTGGCCACCTTTGTTACAGTATTAAAAAAAAAAAAAAAAAAGAAAACAACACTACCCTCGAAGCCGGTAAAATCAATCAATCAAGATTAAGTTTCTGTATTCGGAAAACTCAATTATTATCCACAAATATTAAAAGTACTCAATTATCCATTTTATAAATGCTTCGTCAAATGTTACTGACGCTAATGTTTTTAAAGAGCAATTGACGCATTCGATACGTTTTGCAAAAAAATGAAATTTTTAATCGACGTTACTTGATAACTAAGTAGTTCGAGGGAGACTAGTGTCAACTATTTTATATTGTCTTACGTCTGGCGAAGGTACAACGAGCAACTATTAAAGACAAATTATTCGGTTAAATAAGTGGAGCCGGTGACTGATAAATCGCGATGTTTCAAGAATTTCGACGTGATTACGATTATCGCAATGACCGGTGATAAAATAAGTTAAGTCGACGAAAAAGTAAATATTTTTCTTCCGAGACAGGGAATCTAGATATTAGTCATTCGTCATGTGTTTCATCGGCGCCGATTTCGTTCGAGACTTCTTCCATGCGTTTAATAGCGATAACGTTAAAAGTTTTCTTAGAAATGAGCAAAATTTGTATATCGATTACAATAAGGAATAATGAACAAAGGATGAAAGTCTTTTAATTATAACGAGGAATTAGTTTGTTTCGATTTAAAGAAATTTCAATAAAATAATTAGAAGAGATGCAGTTAAAAAGATGGCCGAATTATATGGAATTATATGTGAGGTATAATTTTAATATAATTTAAAGAAATTAATTTATTATAATGAAAATTCCGTTTTTGTCTGTTGTACAAGAAACAAAGTTACAATTTCGATTTTAGTAAAATCAGATAAATCGGTATTCTAGTCGTCTTTTCTTTGTCTCATCGGATATATTTACGAAAGGCCCAACTGTCTCACAAAAATTCTGGATGATATTCGAAAGCGTGAATGTAGATGTCGAATGATGGCATTTTATAGAATACTTTGTAATTTAGAAATTACACAGTAATTAATATTGAAAATTGGTAGCAACGAAATACCAAACTAATCAACATTTGCATAAAGTTTGTGCCATGGCGATGTTCAAAACAAGAGCATAGAAACTTCATGTGCACGATAGAAAAGAACGCCATGATCGCTGTTACGCGATGGTTACGTGTACATCTGTGTAACAATGAAGATACCTGGAGTTTCAAGTTTCCAAGCACGTTCGAATCGATACTAACTCTTCAGTGGCGTACGTTCCATTTCGTTTTTGCGACACGAGAGATTATTTTCTTTTCTGTCGGTGCTTTAGGATCATATGAAAATTAGTCATAAACTAAATTCTCTGCTTTGATTCGTCTGATCGCTTCGACTAATCTAAGAGAATCGCTCGACAGTTGCGCAACTGTTGTCTCTACCGAATACACCATTGCTTTCGTTTCTTGCTTTTCGATATTTCTTAAATCTCCAAAGATAAATTTGCACCGTGACACAAATACATGCATACATGCATGCTATACAAGGTGTCCCAAAAGTCGGGGAGGAGCTGGAAATGGGGGGTAGCTGAGACGATTCTGAACAACAATTTCCTTTGCAAAAATGTCGGATGGGGCTTCGTTAAGGAGATATTAAGCGAAAACCCCGACCAATCAGAGCGCGCGTAGACCGTTGGAGCGGCCGCTGTAGCGAAGGCTGCGCGCTGGTGGCCGCGCTTGCACGCGAACAAGTGACTCGACGTGCATCGAAGCATCGACCTAGCGCGTAGCCTTCGCTACCGCGGCCGCTCCAACGGTCTACGCGCGCTCTGATTGGTCGGGGTTTT